CCTTCTGACACTTGGTATCTACTGGCCTGGCCCTGCCCTCTTCCTCAGAGGTTCCAGTAGTTCAGGTCAGATATCATCAGCCAAACTTCATGGACGGCTTCTCCATGTCAGCCTCCTAAACACTGTAAAGTTTGACGTGGTTAGACCTTTTCCACAGTAGGATAGATAAAGAAATAGAATTCTTTATCTGTGATTTTATATCAGTAGTTAAGAAAATAGTCTGTTCATAAATTATGGGGAAAGAAGCAGGTAGATTATGGAAGTGTTTGCAAATAGTTAGGAATGATTAAGCCAAACTTACTTATTCATATTTTCCCCTAAAACAGTTTTTGAAAAAGTAATTTTCCAATTGATTAATTGCTTTATAACTGATTCATTTGTATATAGTAGGCACGCACCAAATATCTATTGAGTGAATGAATAAATTCACATTAGTTCATTAGATGAAATTCACCTTGGAAACTAAAAATTGTTCAAAGATAATGTACATAATAGAGTTTTGTACAGTACCTTTTGAGCTTTTGGGGGGATTTGTTTATGCTTCTGTTTGCCCAACATATTTTAATTGTTTGGGGACTCTATGTTTCTATTCTAGTAAAAAGATAAAGAAACAAGAGGAACAAATGGTCTCTAAGGACAATTCTAATTCTAACTCATTTATTTTCAGTGGACAAAGCAGACTAGGTAAGCTCTCATTCCTGATTTAGGGCAGAAGATAATTATCAAAGCCAATAGCAAACATTGCATTTAATGGAAATTCGTTAGAAGCATTCTCTTCAAAACATGGAACAAGAATGCTTAATATTACTGATACTCTTCAACATCATTTTTAGAGACACAGACCTTTAGTAATTAAGGCGATGAAAATGAGACATAAATATTTAAAAGGATAAGCAACACATCTGTCACTATTTTGAAAGAACCTATGATTCTCTACCTAGAAAATCAAAGAAAAAAGTTATTAAAATTAATGAAGGAATTTAGTAAGGTTAGTTGAATACAAAGCAAATATATTTGGTTGGCCAAAAAGTCTGTATGGTTTTTTCCATAAAATAAGACACAATTTTCATTTTCACTAATAACTTTATTGGTTTGGATATTTTGAGTATATTGGTTATCTCTCGTGTGGTATAATGCTGATTGTTCTCAATTAATGTCTCAATTTGATCACTATCACCTTCGACTGGTCTACCCAACCGTGGAGCATCACCGAGTGAGAAATCTCCAGCACGAAACTTCACAAACCACTTTTGACACGTTTGATCAGTCACTGCACCTTCCCCACACTCTGTTCAAATCTATTTTTGTGTTTCAGTTGCATTTTGAACTTTCTTCAAATAATAAAGCATAAGATGCTGAAAATGTGGGGTACTCTCTTCCATCTTCAATATTAAAATGGCTACAGAAAAATTCAACAATTTTATTAAATTTTTAAGAAATGCATGCCGACATGACAGCTGTCACAACACAGTCTAACAAAATTGTTTCAAATGAAATTAAAGACAACTAAGCACTACTACAGCCATCTAACGGAAAAACCCAAGTGAACCTTTTGGCCAACCCAAAACTAAAGTCAATAGCTTTCTCATTCCTATGAAATAGCCAATTGAAATGCAATAGGAATAAAAGGTTCCATTCCCAAGTCACTATTACACAGAAACTATACCATATATGAGTGAATCTACCAAAAATATTTAAAACTTAGATGAAGAAAACTGCAAACCTTTACTGAAAGACATAGTTGAAGACTTGAGTAAACAGACATTCACATTTCCAGTTTGGAAAAAATCAAGTCTTCCTAAATTATACGAAAATTCACTGTCATCCCAAACAAAATATCAGTAAGATTTTTAAAGTTTGACAGCTTGATTTTAAAGTTTACTTTGAAGAGAAAATTGCGTATCAATCACCATGAATATTTTTAAAAGTTGGTCAATAAGATGGAGTCTTGCTTTACTAATGTCAAAAATATAACCAAAAGTCACAGTAATAAACCACTATGACATATTAGTAGGAAGAGACAAATAAGTCAGTGAATAGAATGGAGAATATAAAAACACCCAAGTATTGATTTCCTGTTATGCTTTCCATCCTATCCCATTCGCCAACCAGAGAAACCAAATTTTCCTACTAGATGATCTAGGCTTTGTTTAGGATCAGGCCAGTTTAAGGGGTTAACGGGGAAATTGGCTCTCACTTTTCGCCAGTCCTTGTTTCGTTTCAGCAGTGCCCGTGTGTGCCATTGCACTATGTGAAATATCACACTAAATAGAGCAAAGGCAATGGAGGAAGCAACGTCTGCAGGAGCAGAGAGCCCTTTTAAGCACCCAGGCTCTGGTTCTCTCTTTTATTCATAAATCATATTTTTCCCTTTTAGGATGTATATAATTTTTTTAATCTGGGAAACAAACCATTTCCAAATTCCTCCCAGACCTTCTTTTTAAGTTGGTGCTAGGTTGACTTGTGGGCATCACTGAATAATGCTGTTATCAAAAATGAGGGGTACTTTTGCTGAGGTAATAGTGGACAGAATTCATGTGGCAGTAGAGATTTTAATGAAAACCTTTCATTCTACCTGGTAGATTTCTTCTGACACCCGTGCTTGGGTAGTTAAAGAATACAAAATTATTCTATACTTCTGCTGTTTTATCCTTCTCTCAGTATAGGATGGATTAGAGGCAAAAATCACAGGCCATTACTGTAAAATTTTAGGGAAGGAACGAATGTTTGAAAAAAGTTAGTGGCAGTGGGTGGATTTGAGAAATTAAAGGGAAAACAACAGGATTTGCTAACTGGTTGTTAGTGGAAGTGAAGGAGAAAGAGGAGTTGTTAGCATTAGCTCACAGAAGGGATCAGACTTCCAGCTGCAGTCGTCTGCAGGTTTGGCACTGGGACAGATGGTAACTGCTTAAGGAAGGAATGTTTGGTGAGAAAACACAGGCACCTCATGGGCAGCACTGGGTAGTAGCAGAAGTCACAGATCAAGTCCATGTAGATCATAGCAAACATAGATGCTATAGGCAAAAACTGTGGTTCAGGACGTTAGCCTGCGGTGTGGCTTTAGACTATGGCAGGAAAGCAGCCTTTAGAGTAAGTGGTCCTCCAGGAAACTGAAGAGTTGACTTGGGCCTTCTAGGCCTAAGGAAACGGCCTAGCAAGAAGAAAGCAGGAAAGTAATTTGTGATCACAGACAAGAGTGGGCTCCCTGCCCTGGGAGGAAGAAGAAACCCCTGGGGTGTATGTGTAGAGTGGACTGAAGACAGTAGACTGACCCCTGAGGAGTGTTCAGGGAAATTATTGCCCCTTCTTGACATGGAGTTGTTCATTGTCTAGCTTTGCACCCTCAGCAGAGCAAAAACAATTTCATAATAGCATGGATTACCTCAGCACTGTTATTAATACACTGATGAGCTACTTGTCTCTGACCAGGTTGCTTTCTCTCTCCAAAGCACTATTTTCTTTGTGTCATTGCTACGTTTAAGAATCTCCCTACAGCCATTTGTTTTCTGTCAGATTAAATTCCAGTGTTTTACTCTATCATTCAGAAATTGTCATCAGTTACCCACCCTTTTCTATGAATGCAAATCCTATGTTCCAGGAAGATGATTACCATTTTTCAGATATGCTGTGCAAACCTAGAATATTCATATATCTTCATAACATTAAAATTTGTATTTTCTTCCTAAATATTTTCAAGGATGGTCATTATAACATTGTTTTATAACAGTAAAATATCATGAGTCACCTAAATATTCAACCATTTGGATTTATTAATTGTGTTATGCTGTAAGCACTTACTCTGAAATAGTATACAATTTTTAAAAATGATCTACTAAACTATTTACTTACTTGGGAAAATGGGCCTGATATATTAATAAGTAAAAAAGACCAGAATACTGAATTGTAATAGTCTAACCCAATTTTTTTTGCCAAAAAACACAAAAATTATACATATCATTCTCTAAATTTTTCTTCTAAATTATATACGATAATTATGTGTTACTTTTGTAACCAGGAAAGTGATCCTTTTGTTAAAAAATAAATTTGTTATCGTTAGATCAGGAGGAAAAGAAATAAAGTGAAAAATTATCTACAGAGAAAGGTCTTCAAATTAAGGAAAACAAAAGAGACTGTTTTCCCCTCATACACAGACTCCTAATTCCGTTGGCCGTACCCCTAGGCAGACTTCAGAACACTATTGGTAGTGACTATAGTACGGTGATCTAGAGTTAGCAGCTTCAGTTCTAATCTGAGCGCCTCCCCTACGTGGTTTCCTTAGTGGTAGCCATGAACAGCCTATCAGGGTTTCAGTTTTTAAAGAAAATTAATAAACTACAATGAATAGACTTCTAACTGAGTAAATACGCCAGTCTAGAGAGGGCGCAGTCAGCATCCAGCGAGTGTCAGCGCTCCCTGCAGGGCAGCGGCTTTCAACCGCTGTGCCGTGGGACCTGTTTAAAACGTGCAATGCCTGACTCGGCGGGGGCTCTGACCTCCTTTCTCTTAGACTGTCAGGTAAAAAATGACAACAGCCAACACAACAATAGCTTCCGGTGTGAATGAATCAGAATTATACTTTTTTTCTTTTGGTCAGATTGGCAAAAAAAAAAAATTTTTTTAGTGTGCTGCAGAATTTTAGTAATTAGTTTATGTATGCCGCAAGATGAAAAACGTTGAAAACTGCTGCTCTAGAGAAACTGCCAGCTCAGAAATTTAATGTCTTCTAAGACTGAAACTGAAGAAATAAATCACTAGTCCTTCAAAGTTTCAGTTTAAAAACTTCAGGCCCTTAGTAATATTCATTGTAGGATATTTGGAATATTAATTCATTGTATTCATGTGGATAATTTATTTATAAAAGTATTTAGTTCTTTAAAAGACAGTATTTTCAGGTTTTCACTTACTCTGTTAATTCACTTTTAACACAATTGAAAGCATTTATCTTCTGAAAGGAGGCATTATTTCACATAGTTAAAATTTATTTGCTTCCTTCACTTTAGGTTGCTATTGGCAGAACAGACATCGAAGACTTAGACCTCTATGCTACGTCTCGTGAAAGGCGATTTCGTTTGTTTGCTTCTGTAGAATGTGAAGGGCAGTTATTCATGACTCCGTATGATTTTATTTTGGCTGTTACAACAGATGAGCCCAAATGTAAGTATATTTTTAAAATTATCTTAATAATTTTATAAGATTTTTTCTTATCTCTAGAGCAGTATAAGTTTTTTAGAACTAACAAAGTAACGTGGTATTTTGAAAGACATTATGCTATATAATTTTACCAGACTAATAGTTTACAATACAAGTAAATGTTAATTGAGATCCCTTCTAGAACTAAAATAAGTAATTGATTATTCTCATATAGCTTCAAATATTTTAATTTTAATTTTAAAAGAGGTAGTATTAAAAAATTGGACATATAAAAATATTAAAAATAAAATAAACATTAACCTATAGCTTTAGGAAATAAAATATATCCAATAGAATTGAAGTCCCTCTTCATCTAAGTTATATTTATATATGCAGTAACTTCACATTAAATAAGTTTAGAAAATCAGAAAATCCTTTGAAGAACAATCTTAATGGCTCTTTGGTCTTTATAAGAAAAAGCTAATAATATTGAACGTGGTAACACATCCGGCAGAATGAATGTGTCTTTTGTGAATAATTTACCCTGGAGATTTCATGAACCCTGCAAGACTCAAGAGTGTGTCTAACTTCCTCTTTTGATAAATAGCTTCTGAACATTGCATAAGAGCGTGTGCATATACTTTTGTGCCATTTATTTTTCTCCTCTTCTTACTGCTATCATTCAAAAGCAACAGAATAATATTATTCACAATGTTCTGTTTATTATGAAAAGGAGGATGCCTTTAAATGAGAATGTATACAGTGCCATAATTAAGGTTAAATGCTGAATTCTACTTTGTAGACCTATGATTTTAATCACTTAATTACACATTTCTATAAATAACCTTGGGTAAAGAAAGGATGTTGTAGCTGTATAAAGAAGAAATCTGTCTGCCTAGAAATCAGTTTGCTAAGTTTTAGAACAGACTCCCTTTTGATCTCAAAATGATAATAGTTTTAAAAAGAGAACATTATATAGGTAAGGAAATGCCTATATTATAATTTTGAATTTGATATGTTGTTTATATTAATTGTGGTTTATTACACAGAAATAACGACATCACCATGTAGGAACATTATTGGTTGTCATTATTGTAATGTAGCTAAAGTACTTAATATTGACCAGTTTCTAATTCAGCTGTATGAGAAGACTTAATCCTGTATAAACCTGGGGATAATTCTTGGGCAGTCATTAGATTGATATTCACAGTGTTAAATCTGAGCAAAAAAAAAACAGCAATATGACTCACATCTATTCCAATATCATAAAGATTTATAGCTTTTGAGATCTTCAGGTATGTGAAGAGGAATCAGAAAAAGAAAATGATCCCTGGTATTTTACTCAACCATAACATTGTTAGGGGAAGAGAGTGAAACAGGATGAGGCTCTCTAGCTCACATTGTTTGCTCTCTCCTTCATCTCTTTTCAAAGCCTTTGTCTCCATCTTTCCCACTTACCCTAGAGACACCTGACTTTTGAATTATCATCAGAGATACTAATATAACAGAGGTCATGGTAATACCTTAAAATTATAATTTCTCTATGTTAATATTTTATCTTCTAGTATGAATATTTAATAAACATTATTATTTGTGTTTTTTAAGACCATAGATGTTTGACATAAAGTGAGTTAACTTACTTTATAAATCTAGAAATCCTCAAAGTAAGATAATGATTATGGAACAATGTGTCCTTTATGTGACTTATTTAATATAAATAGTTTATAGTACATGAAACAAATATATACCATAAATAAAATATCTTGGATCCAAATCCTGAGATTAAAGAAACTTTGCATTTTAGACATGAAAACTTGGCGTTATGAGTTATGGCTGTTGATAGTTATCTACCTCTTATATCTTTGTTTATTATAGTTGCTAAAACGTGGAAGTCACTTTCCAAACAGGTAAGTTAAAGCTCTTGGTGTTCTTCTTCCTGCCCCCTCCTTGCTCTCTCTCTCTTTCTCTTCACACACACACACACACACACACACACACACACACACACACACACAATATCTATTTTTTTCTGGAAATTAAATCACATCCCAGAGCGATTCGAAGATGTGGATCAATGGTAACCCTCGTGTGTGAATGTAGATTGGTATACCCACTTTGGAAAACAGTTTGGCAGTATCTACTCAGATTAAATATCCACATGTCCTGTACCTAGCAGTTTTACTCCTGGGGTTTTACAACGGTGCATGCGTATATTACCTAATAAACTAAGCTTGAATATACCCTCTGATACAGTAATCTCATACCAGTGTGTATAACCAGAGAAACTTCCACGTATGCAGGGTAGGTTCATAGGAGTGACCATGGGTTGTTCATGACGGCCAAAAAGACTGTGATACAATAGCAGTAGCAGAACTGACAAATGAGCTTTGATATAGTTTTGATATAGTCACTGATTTCACTTAGCTTAATATTCTCAAGGTCCATTCGTGTTGTTGCAAATGGCAGTATTTCATCTTTTCTACTGGCTGAGTAGTGTTCCATTGGATATATGGGCCACATCTTTACCCAGTCATCTATTTAAGGGCGCTTGAGTTGTCTCCCTCTCTTGGCCACTGGGAATAATGCTGCACCGAACATAGGGTTGCATATATCTTTGTGAATAAATTTTTTCAATTTTTTTTAGGTAGATAGATACCCAGCAGAGGGGTTGCTGGGTCATATGGTAACTCTATTCTTAAATTTTGAGGAACATCCACACTGTTTTTTTTATAGTGTCTGTATCAGTTTACATTCCCACCAGCAGTGAATGACGGTTCCTTTCTCTCCACAACCTCTCCAACACTTGTTATTACTTGTTTTGTTGATAATAGCCATTCTAACGGGTGTGACATAGTATCTCATTGGAGTTTTGATTTGCATTTCCCTAGTAGCTAGGGAGGTTGAGTATCTTTTCACTTATCTGTTGATCATTTGTATGTCTCCTTGGGAGAAGTGTCCGTTCAGGTCCTCTGTCCATTTTTAATTGGGTTGTTTGTTCGGTGTTGAGTGTATGAGTTCTTTATATATTTTGGATATCAACCCCTTGTTGAAGCTGTTGTTTGAAAACATTATCTCCCACTAAATTGGTTGGCTTTTTGTTTTTTTGGTAGTTTCTTTTCCTGTGCAGAAGCTTTTTTAGTTTGATATAATCCCATTCATTTCTTTTTGCCTTTGCTTCCCTTGCCTTTGAGGTCAAATTTATAAAATCTTTTCTAAGTCCTAAGTCCACAAGTTTAGGAACTCTATTTTCTTCTATGTAATGTATTGTTTCAGGTTTTATATTTAGGTCTTTTATTGATTTTGAATATGGGGATAAATAGTAGTCTACTTTCGTTCTTTTCATGGGGATTTCCAGTTTTCACAGCACCTCATTGACTGAAGAGGTTATCTTTTCTCCATTGTTTATTTTTGGCTCCTTTCTTGAAAACTATTTTCCCATACACCTGTGGGTTTATTTCTATGCGCTCAATTCTGCTCCATTGATCTGTGTGTCTTTTTTATTTCTGCCAATACCATGCTGTTTTGATTATTTTCACTTTGTAGTATAACTTGAAGTCAGGGAACATGATACCTTCAGCTCCAGACCCCCTGCTACCCCGGCCCCCTGTTCAGGGTTGTTTTAGTTTTTTGGGGGCTTTTGTAATTCCATACAAATCTGATGATTTTGTTCTATTTCTTTTAAAAAAAGTCATTGGGATTTTGGTGAGGATTGCATTAAATCTGTATGTTGCTTTGGGTAATAGGGACATTTTAACCAGATTAAGTCTTCCAATGCATGAATGTGGAATAACTTTCCATTTCATCATAATTTTTTAATCTCTTTTAATAATGCCTTGTAGTTTTCAGCAAACAGGTCTTCCACATCTTTTGTTAAGTCTATTGTTAGCTGTTTGATTCTTTTTGCTGCAATTGCAAGAAGAATGTTTTAAAATTTCTTTTTCTGAAGTGTTATTGTTAGTATGCAGGAATGTAGCGGATTTTTGTACATTCAGCGTAACACTGGAAGTCCTTGCCAGAGCAATTAGGCAAGAGAAAGAAAGTGAAGGCATTTAAATTGAGAATGAAGAAGTAAAAATATCACTTTTTGCAGATGACATGATCCTTTATATAGAAAACTCTAAAGACTCCACCAAAATGATTAGAAACAATAAACAAATACAGTAAAGTTGCAGGATTTAATTATATTTTTAAAAAGATATAAGTAAACAAATATATTCATGGATGATTCATTGGAAAGCATAAGGTCTGCGAATTTTTAAAACAATTCTGAAAAGGAAGAAAAGAAAGAAAGTAGGATGAGAACAACAGGGCCTGTATCATGTTAAGATTAATAATAAAGGTATAATAATTAAAGTAATACTGTTACTATTGCAATATTTTTAAGTAGACCAACAAAATAGACTTCAGCATCCAGAAACAGATCCAGGCATGTATGGGAAGATCTGTGAATCATTGGAGAAATGATTGACCTTTAGGTATTGAAACAATAGTCTTTCTTACATTTGGGCAAATAAAATTAGGTCTCAAACTGACCACCATATACAAAAGCAAATTTCAGATGGATTAAGTTCTTACTTTTGAGAAACAAAAATTCTGATATATTATAAGCAAAATGAGAAACCTGGGAGGTTTTACTAGACAAAGCCACATAAAGAAAAACTCAAAGGACATTATTGGCAAATTTTACAAAGTTAAATATCAAAAACTTAAGCATTCTTCAAGATAGTGTCAACAACGTTGAAAGATGTATGACAAATGAGAGAATATGCTTGCAACATTTTAACAGTAAAGCTAAAGCGTCTTATAAGGCATATAGAACTATTCTAAGTCAATATAGAGAAGAAAGTCATCTCAATAAGAAAAAAGCAGACAAATATGGTTAGAATGCCCGGTATATATATGTAAAGGAGCTCAATATCACTGGTAATCAGGGATATGCAAATTAAATCAGATATGATACTATTTCACAACCATCATATTGTTAACTTCCAGAAATCTAACAATACCAGTACTTAGTATGGACAAGAAGGGAAGGAACCAGGTGAGGATATAAATTGGTATATTCACTTTTGAGAGAAATTTGACAGTATTTAGTAAAGTTGAAAATGCATATTAAAAATTCTACTTCTATGTGTGTGTGTACTAGATAAACATTTGTGTGTTTATACTAGGAGTCCTGTACATATTTCCTATAGCATTGATTATAATAGCAAAAAAAAATAGAAACATTATAAATGTCAATTAGAGAAATGAATGAAAGAATTGTGAAAGAGGCATATCAAGGACAAATACAGCAATACAAAGCTAAAATGAATAAATACATTAGAGCTACTTAGGTTATCGGCATGAATATACTGAGCAAACATAAGGTTAAATAAAACAGCAAGTTACAGAATAATATAGACCAGCAGTTCTTTAAAGTGCAGATTCCTTTTAAGGGATCCGTAGAGTCAAGTCATTTTCATAACAATACTGAGAAGATACCTGCTTGTTTTATTTCTCTCATTCTGTCATGAGGCCTCGTGGTCAGTGACAACACTATCACCTTGACAGCTTACTAGATTATGTATTGGTGTGTTTTTGTGTTTTAAAACTTTATTGTTCCTATTTCCACATGCATTAAATATTGATAGATAATAACCCACATAAACAATATCTCTTTTTGAGTCCATAATAATTTTCAGGAGTATAGAGTTATGTTTCAGAACTGACAATATAGACAACTGCTATGTAGCTGTGAAAATGAAAATGAAGAGCATTTGGCAGAAAAATATGCCCATGTATTAGATGCAAAGAGTGAGTTACTAAACAATATGTGGGAAATGATTTACTAATTGTCACAATAATAACAAAATACTATGTAATTATGCCTGATAGAGAATTAAACTAAAAAGGTGTTAAACTTTTGTCGTTCATCCCTGGATTGCAATTACTTTTTATTTTCTGTACTTACTAATTTCCAGATAATAGATGTATTTTAGCTATATAATAAGGCAAAGTTGTGTGCATTTAAGAAAATTGTATAAATCCTTTAAAAGGCAGCTATAATTCTAGGTAACTGAGTTCAACCCAGCAAATATTTATTTGGTACCTATTTGCAAGACTGCAATATAACTCTGATGCTAACCACCCAGAGTTATTGTCAGACTCCACAGGTTTAAGGGCTCAGTCCCCAACAAGACTACTTTCATTTCAGATGCCAGCTGCAAGTTCAGGAGTCCCTGGCCACCCATATTTCTGACAACTGGCTACAAACCCAGGCAGTTCCCACAACTCACCTCGAGTTTAATAATTTGCTAGACTGATTCACAAAACTCAGGAACCTTCTACACTTAAAATTACAGTTTATAATTATACGGGACACAAATGAGGACCAGCCCAATGATGACACGCGTAGGGTAAGGTTCAGCAGGGCCCCAGGCACAGAACTCCCGTGTCCTCTCCCATGGAATTGAGTGTGTCACCGTCCTAGCAAACCCTTGTATTCACCCACCTGCAAGCTCCACGGAGCTTAGTGTCAGAGTTTTTATTGGGGGTTTCACTGCACAGGTATGATTGCCTAGATCGGTGGCCACATGACTGAACTCAATCTCCAGTCCCTCTCCGCCTCCTCCCCGAGGGCTGGGCGAGCGCAAAGCCCGAACGCTCTAACCACACAATGGTTCTTTCTGGCTCCCAGCCCCCAAGCTGCGCCATCTCAGCATAAGCTCAGGTGTGATGCTACGGGATAGAGCCTCCCTCCCAAAGACCTGGGACAAAGACTAATCAACTTCTTCATTATACAACACTACTCCATATAAAGGACCGAGCTAGGCATTGGAGTGGGGAGAAAGGTTCCCAGACTGAATGGAAATAAAGATTTTAATAATAATTTTTTGTATTGTTCCAATGCGTTTGTCTCCATTTACTCGCCACCACTCTCCCCTGCCCCACCTACCCCTACCTCCCCCACTCAATCCTTCCCAGCCTGAGATTTTAATAAAATTTAACAGTCCTTATAGTTAACAGAAGACACAAGAGTGTTTCAATTGGATGATCTAGATCAGAAGAAACTAAATTATTACTAAAATAAACTGACTAGAATCAGTAAGGATCTGGCCTGTCATTTACTAGTTGTATGACCTTGGACTAGTTACTTATGTTTTTTAAGATTCAATAAAATATGCAAAATGAGGATTGTCTTTTAGAATTAAATGAGATATTGTGATAACCCATTGCCAACCACATTGAGGGCAGTTGGTAAAAAATAGCTAAGTTTAAGATGAATACATAGCAACAGTTAAAATGAAAAGAAATGAATGTTTATATAATAGAAATGATAAAAAGTAAACTACATAAAACACATTCAAAATATTTTTTAATCTCTTGCTCTAACAAAAATATGTATGAGTTTACTGTTTAGACAGTAGATACCCCAGCTTCTCATCATTAGTCATACCTGCATTTTTACCTCTCTGCCATGCTACCCATTACCCGGTGGCATCTGTTACCTGCAGTGCAGGGAAAACACTATGGAGGAAATGAAAGCTGGGATTCACAGATGGGCTTCAGGATGTCTGCAATCCCCTAAAAATGCCTCTCCTGCCTCTTTCATCCTTATTTGCATGCTAACTCCACTTTGTAAAGAAAGAGATGGTTTGTAATTGCCACAGCACATTTCTAGGTACAACTACATCAGGAAGAGTTTGTCTAAAGTGCTCCTAAATTTGGATGTACATAAAAGTCACGTGGATACCTTGTTAAAAACAGATTCTGATTCAGTAGGTCTGGGATGGGAACTGAGATTCTGCGTTTGTAATTACCTCCAAGGTAATGATGTTTGGGCAATGGGGTAACCAGACTTTGAGTGGCAAGAATCAGATCTTGAAATAGAAGTGGTTTCTAGTGTTTCTTCAGTGTGCTGCTTAGCAGACTAATTTTTAAATTTCAGTTTATTTCAAGTTATCTCATCAAATCCTTTAATAATTTTTATTCACATTTAACCAAATTATAATTTTCACTTAGTTATTTTCAACACAGTTATACAATAAATTTGAAGTAGCTTTAGTATCTAAAGAATAATTCGAATGTTTAAATTTTCCAAAATAGTTTCCCCCCCCACCAGCTGTGATAGTTTGATTAAAAAAAAAAAAATCCCAATTAATCAACAAATAAAGTCTGTGTCCTTTACTGAATATTTAGGTTAAAATTAGAAAAAAATATTGAAAGTGTCCACAATAACTCAATGTCCTTATCCTTCCATTTCATCTAAAGTCATAAATCTTGGAGTCACTATTAAAATATTCTTCATTCCTTCCTGATACAATCCTTTGTCCATTTACTTCTTCCACCACAAAGCCCCCTAAATCCAAAAGAGCAACAGAGAACAGACAGTGTGTGAAGCCAGGGGGTATTGATTGGGAAGCCCACCTTTTCCAGTGGCTCTCACGGAACTTTTTCTAACTGGCTCCATAACTTAAACTCACTTTTTAATCTTCATTTGATTATCACATATATATTACTCTAACTATTAAATTTATCTGAAATTTTTGGTAGCTCTAATTGGGCTACCAGTTGTAGCATCTTTATCATTTATTTTATGCTTGGACTATGGGCAAATACTGGGTTTTGCGGGTAGAGGATAGAATAAATACAGTCATGTCTCAGGTCTTCTAAGTGAATTTTTTGGGATAGGAATTCAATTTTTTATCTATTTTAGAATTAATTTACATATTAATCAGCATTATGACACCTTATGTCGTAGGAATTAAATCAAATGCTCTCAGAAACACCACCAGTTTGGAAAGGATCATCAAAGCTATTTCGAAACCTTAAAGAAAGAGGTAAGTTAACTTTAGTACTTAAGCATTTTAATATTGATGTAATATTACTTATACTATTATATATACAGATTTTCTTCATACTTAAAATAATTTTACAACTATGTGTATATGTGTGCACAGAGAAAAAACTGAAGAGAAAAACACAAAAATACTAATAATGGTTATTTCTAAGTAATGGGATTAAGGGTGTTCTTTATTTTACTTTTTACGTATATTATTTACATCTTTCAAATTTTTTACAACAAAATGAACTTTTATAGGTAACAAACCTTTTTAACCATATTGAGAAGTATAGGCTATATTTACCTATATAAAACACTTTTCAAAAATACTAATCTCTAAATGTCTATTTTATTTCTGGGAATTATAGGTTTTCTTAAATTTAATCAATATGAAAAACTTATTGGACCTGTCATTGGTCACCCAATTTGACCATGTTTCTTTTAAAAACAACTCTTACTGCAAAATTCACTTGTTTCAATTTACTCTATTATCTATACCTATGTATCTAACTTAACACACTAATTCATACATATAGTCAAATTACGTAGCTTTTATTGCAGTTTTCTTTTACAGTGTAATTTTGGTATATAGTTATAGCAAAAACTAATAAAATATTTAATTAATTTAATCTTATAAAGGAATGTTTCTTTGAAATATACTTTTAATATTTTCAAGTATGAGAATCTATGAAATAAAAATTGTAAAGAAATTATATAAAGTTACCTTTTTCTTTTTCATCAATTTTAACTGATACTAATTTGAAAATGTTTTACTCTCACTTGAAGACAAATAGTTTAAAGGAGTAGTTATAATCCATATATTTTATCTAAGTAGAGTTAAAAATTGCTTCTACGCGGTTCTCATGGAATCTGAAAGGAGAAGACACTTTATCTTTTAAGTTTGTCATAACTTAGGGTTTTAAAATCTTTGCAAAATCTGTGCCAAGGTATCTTTAAAGGTCTTAGAAATTCTTTCCTGGAAGTTGTCCTAAAAATTGCCACTGAGGCCTTAGGGTGGGGTGATAAGATCAGGAAATATCTTCCACTAAATCAATTTGAACAACAGTCAGATAGAACTGTGGATACGGAGCCCATTTCCTTTTTATCCCTCTGCATTTATGCTTTCTTTCTTCTTCTTCTTCTCCTTCTTTTTAAGGTATCCCTATGAACTCTAGGTATTGTATCTTTATATACATTGACCATTCCAGAATCTTTCTCCCATAACGTCCATGGCAATCAACCAGAACTCTGTCGATAGGTCGCAATATTCCAGTATAAACAAAGGAAGGGAATGCCTTCAGGGCCTCCTGGCTCGTTCCCTCCCGGACTTCTGACAAACTGCCTGACAGTGACTCCTCTCCCCTTTGTTTTATAACAGAGGGGAGGACCTCCAAGAGGAGCGCCTGGGGGAAATGGAGGTTTAAAGTTGGCAATCTGATTATGTAAGGGTTCTTTATACCCTTTTTTACCAAACATTAGGACTGATCTCTGGATAAGTGTTATTAGCGTATTCCCAATTTTAACTTTCTCAGGATCCACTTGGAAAGTCAAGTAACACATTAATTCTACTCTTGGGTATTATAGTCCAAAAACAAGAATTTGGGTAACAGAACTCATATTTTTACTTACTCCAAATTAACTCCTTTTGAAATTTGTGATTCTGGCATTACAGAGAACTCAGGCTGCAATATGTATATAATCTTTTAATTAAAATAAAAACTTCTTAGGTTACACTTAATAGAAGCATTAATTTTATCAATGATAATAACTTGAATGCAGAAAAAGGATAACTACAGAGTTTGGCTTTTTTAATACAATGCAAAAATCAAAATTCCAAGGAAGAATGTCTAAATGTTCCATTCAAATGTTACTAAAAATTAAGTACTGTACAGTTTTAACCATTTCCAACCTTTCCATTTTATGTTTGATTCGTACACGGAAAGCTAGCAACAAGTTTAAAAGTTACAGCTATAAGTAAACATAATTTTGATTTTTATTGCCAATACCACATATATCTGAAAACATTAATGGGAATTTTATATGGGTTTCTAAAGAGACATGTGAAACAATGAAAGTAAAATTAATTTTGTTGCTTTTTTTGCTATGATTCTGTAATAAGTTTGGTCTCATTTAAAACAATATTTAGCATCTTCTTTAAAACTACAAGTTCTTTATTAATATTACTTATTGCTATTAGAAGAATATTTTACTTGATAAATATGAAGAAAAAGTAGTATTTTTATATAGCATAACTGGTCCTGTTTTTCTTCTAGGTGTGATTTCTTACACAGAATATCTTTTTCTTTTGTGTATTTTAACAAGTAAGTGTACTCGTTAAATGTATTTCTGAATGTAATTTTTTAAATCAGAATTTTAGAAAACAAGTCTTTCTTAGATTCTCTCACTATTGAAAATCACTTTATATCTGTCCATGCTGTTTTGCAAAATTTATGTCTAAATGGCCACAGATAATGCTAAATATGGAATATCAAGTCAAAATCATAAATATTGTTATGGCGTACAGTATAGTAATAAAATGCTCTTAAACTGTAAGTTTAACATTGTACATCAATCCCTGTGGTTTAATCTACATGAGAGCCTAACGGTCAGGACATATAATGATTTGTGAATTTCTTGCTACTCTCATTTGCATCACATTTTCTGCAAAGCTAGTGTGAAAGAATGAATCTTTTAACTAGTAAGTCTGTCAGAATACTCGTGATACATCCTAAAACAGCTTCATTTTTCTCTTCCTCTTATATACAGCAGTTCTTATGAAATATATGTAGGGTTTACTGAGATTTTCAGTTAAATTCACTGCGTTTAATGGGAGAGCTACACTCCAGCCACCTGACCTTTCTATTCGTTTATGGCCACCTCAGGAATTTGTACTTTCTGCTCCCTCTGACATCAGTGCTTTTCTTCAAGAGCCTCATGAGAATAAACATCATTCAGGTTTCCTTTGAAATGTGAATACTTAGAGAATCCTTCCTTGACCATCCTTTCTAAAATAGCTCCCTCTCTCATCTCTTCCTTTGTGTCCCTTTACAGTGTTTTATTTTCTTCATAGTGCTTAAATTGTTTGAAAGTATTTATTTATTGATTTACATGTTCTTGTCTGTCTCGCCACATTTGAATGCAAGGTCCATGATGGTAAAGATTTTATCTTTTTTGTGCATTTCTGTATCAAGAACAGTGTTTGACACATGTTAGCCTCTCAAAACATAGTTGGTGAATGAATGAAAGAATATCAGTAGTGGAATTCCCCATTGTGGGGATTTGTGGCGATGTATGGAAACAAGAACTATGATGATTCAAGTCCAGTTAACAATGAATGCAACCACAAAAATTAGAGTGGGTGCGAGAGTATCTCAGAGACTTGTTAAAAAGTTATCTGGTTAGCTATAATGTTGAATGCAAAATTTGAAGTTATAAGTACCTGAACCAGCAGAGGGATAGGTAAGTCTAAAACAGAAGTAGTTAAGGAAGCTGTATGTTGCAGCGGGACGGAGTGTGGTTTAAGGGTGCCGGACCGAGCACACGCGGTGGTTCCTGCGTACCGTGGGCAGGTTAGGGTCTTTGGAGGCTGCACTTCTTCTTTGGGTGTCCAGGACCCCTCTCGGAAACTTGTAAGAGTTTGAATTTTAAAATTATGAATGACATTTAGATTAGAACCAAAAAAAAAAAGTGAAAAGAGGGTTGGCAGGAAGAGGGTTAGATAATTTGTGTTGCTTGTCTATAGTTCTGTAGTCCTGTCCTCTTTACTTTTTATTATTTTAACTGTCAAATAATAATTTGCTTCCGAAGAGTGCTTGTAAGGTTTTCTTATCTGCATATATATTCATGAACTTTTTTAAAGCCTAAAACTTAGTTATCAGAGAGCATAACTTTCTATTTCTTTCTCAAATGAATAATAATGAAAGTAAATTTAGGTTCCTAAAATACATGCAAGAAGTGAACTTGCAGAAAAGACTGGCTTCTGTGTCCTTTATTTTCAGAGACAGCTATTACCAGTTAAGAAAGTCGGTCTGTGTGCTTCTCTCCGTCTAGGTTCAAGGTCTCACAACTGGTAGTGGCAAGTGTGTCTGTGGGAGGCCCCTTTTTGAACTTTTCCAGTCGTCTCAAAAGAGTAGGTCAAATGTTTTGAAAAAGGCGTGTACACTGAGCTCCTCCTTTAACAATAAGTTCAGATTTTCTTGTGTCCAAGTTTTCTTCTTTATGCTTTAGAAGTAAAAAGAGAAAAAAGATTGAACCTCATTGTAGGGTTCATGAAATTAAAGCAGTTCATAGTAAGTGAAAGTCTGCCTTTTTCAGAAAAATAATTGTTTCTTGTATTTTAGGGGGAATTAGGAATTAATTTTTTAAGCCTCTTATATTTCTGTTTTTGAAGCCTCTAAAAGTTTAAACCCAAATATGTAATCTTTCATGCTTGGCATTTATTTTGATAGGTCATTTCCATTACAATTTTCTGCAGAATTTGGACTAGTTCATTTTGCCATATTTGTTTTTAGAAGGAGGGTAGTCAAATGTTATTGTCAGTGCTTTGCAACAAGTATCAAATAGTGTTTTTAAAGTATATTATCAATGTTGCTACTATATATGCTAATATACAAGCACAAATGTGTATCCTTACATACAGCTTTTATTTTATTTAACTAATAGTTACATGTTGTTTTCAGTGTATTGGTTAAAGAAGATATTTTTGTACCAAATATAAGTAACTGTTTACAACTCACATGGACTTTGTACTTTAAAACCATTCCCCATTTCATAAATACTTTTCTGTCTCTTCTGGCAGAGCCACATGCAGGTTTTAGAATAGCTTTCAACATGTTCGACACTGATGGCAATGAGATGGTGGATAAAAAGGAGTTTTTGGTGGTATGTACATTGCATGCCGAATTTTATCGATAATTAAAGATTGCTTACATGTTTATGTTTTTGCATTCTTTTAAAGTGCTGTAGAAGAAAGAGTGAAAATTTTATGCCTTCTCCTTAATGTAGTGAAGGAGTATAGGCTCATGACCTTTGAATAATTTTTACATTGTAAAAATATGAATTATATTCAGTGTATAAAGATGATTATAGTTGATTACACATTTTTCTGGAAGTGTGAAGTGTGTCCGATATTTTCTGTTGAGTGGCGAACGTGCACCCTGAGGCGTTACATACGTCCCGTCCGTCCTCAGTCCCCATCACGTCAGCTCCCCAGTCACAACTGTGCGGCAGGACCTCCTCTTCCTTCTCATTAGAGGATTTACGATTGTTTTTTCTTCCTTTTCACTTTCGTTCCTTTCTGCCGGTATTGCAGTCTTGTCTCCATTTTCCTATTTTCTTCCCCTGTCTTTGACCAAAGGCTGATCTAAAGTGGGAGAGGCGAGATTGCTTTTAGGTGTCCATCCTTCGATTGTTCTCACCTGCCGGGTCCAGTGTTGGTGCTGGGCGGGCGACATCATTTATCTTACCACTCCCACCCTGCCTTCCAGAAATTTTCAGTCTCTTCTTACCCATGTCTTTCTGCACCTCCTTCTGTGGCCAATGTCTATTCCATTTTTTTTTCTCCAGAAGATGGGCTCAAACCTAGAGACCCTGTGTCCTATTTTAATGTTCTTTATACCCCAATAGGCTTCATCTCCTTTGTGTGTGCCACAAGCTTCATGTCTTTGTGTCTTAGAGATAAAATATTACTATGATTTTGTACATTTTATTTAATCATGGGTTGCTAATGCCAAAGGATGTGTTTTCCTTGTCTCAGGAAAAAAAAAATGACATTAGAAAAAAAAATATATATAGTACTTTTAATGTTATTTGTAGATGAAGCCAGACATTTTCTTTGTTTTAAGACTGCATCTAGTTTGGTATAAGGTGGTAGGTAGGTACCTGAATCTCTTGTTTGATGCTTGATTCTTGAGTGATTTCCTTTTTAGCTTCAAGAGATATTCAGGAAAAAAAATGAACAGAGAGAAACTAAAGGAGATGAAGAAAAGCGTGCAATGCTGGTAAGAATAATTTGTAGTAGTTTTTGGTGGCTTTTCTAGATGAGAATTACTCGTGTTGAAAACAATAAGTCTGTAAATTTAGAGCTGTCCCTTTTATTGAAAACTTATAAAGTTCTTATGTAGAAAAATTGCTTCAGTATTGATATATATCAACATCAATATCAATATTTATATTAAATATTGATATTAAATATCTGTTTCCGTAATTACATTGATGAAATCATTTTATTCATATTGTTGTTATCCATGAGATTTGAAGGGTATATCATATTATAGGTTAATATAGATCATTATGCATATAAAAATTTAAAGGTGAATTGCAAAGATTTAATTACATATATGAGTGAGTTTAGTGGTGCTGTAACAATATGAATGTTGAAGCAAAAACAAAATTTTTTTTTGCATTCTTATAAGTATGTATTATATATTATTCTTCTGGGATGATATTTTCATCTTACTCCAAAGGTAGAATTAAGCAACATTTCACTCCGTTTTCCTACCAGTTTTCTTTGGCTTGCCCCAGGTATTTCAACCTGAAACATCCCGGGTTCACATAGTAAAAAATAACAGGTACTGAGACCTTACTATCAGGCACTGTACTAGATGCTTTGCATGCATTTTCTCATTTAATCTACCTAGCAATTCTCTTATTATCTTTAATTACAGATGTGGAAACTGATAGTTGGAAAGGTTAAATATATTGTCCAAAATTACACAGCTACTAAATGACAAAGCCAAGATTTGAGCCCATGGCTGGACAGCCCCAAAATCTACACTCTTACCCACTATGGCATATTTCTTCGTCTAGTCCTTAGATAGCAGAAACACGGTGAATTTTCTTGGCATGTAAATGATAATTATTTCATCTGCAAATTACTGATTTGTGTTGGTCTTCTGGGAATTCAAATAATTAACTTCAGAGAGATACAACATTTTTTATTCTCATTGTTGTAATCATATATATTAGGTTTTTAAAAAACATGTATTATCTGTAGAGGATGGGTGCCATATTCAATCCCAATAGATTTATAAAGTGTTTTTCATATTTATATTAATAAAAGCAGATTATTGGGATTATACAATACATATTATTTCATGGGATAGTTGACTATGACATATCAGTATTTGTTGAATGGTACCCCCAGTATACTAATTGACAAAGCTTATGGAAGACACTCAAAAAAATCAAAAGAGCTGATTATAATGTCAGCCAAGTATTAAAGGGGTATTGAGTTCTTTAACTCAGGTCTTACTGTTTTCAAATTGTAATCAATAAATCCTGTATGATTTTAGCCCCATAAATGCAATTCTTAGATTATTAGCAAATAACACTAGAAAGTTAAATACCTTTAGAAGTTTTATTTTCTGTAGATGATATAATATATCCAATGAGTAAACAATTATTTTAATTTTGATAGGTTGACAGCTTTAATTGATTGGGTAGACAAGTTAGTAAAAATCATTTAGGAGGTTGAATTATATTAATTAATCTTGATATACCTTAGTGATAAAGTAGATCATATTTTAGTGGAGAGAAATTTAACTTTTATTTATTTGTTTATTTACTTCCAGAAAGGACTTATGCTTCTTCCAGTAAAAGTACAATAAATACTATTCTAATCATTAATATTTACTAAAATATGTAAGCCAAGCAACAAAGGGAGAGAGGAAGGGGAGAAATAATAGCAGACAACCCACACTGGGAAAACGGATAGGGTCAGCACAAAACTTGGCTCTGAACTTCATTGTAGCCCAAGTAAAGTAAATTTAATTCTGATTTAATGCGAATATTCTGTAATAGTGACATAAGAAAACCTCATTAACTTGGATTAATTAGGGAAAGTCTGTCTCAAGTATGAGATCTAAATTATGTAAGCATATCCCAAATTGTATTATTTTGTTTGCCTATTGGTCAATGAAGCTTTCCCTATCAGATATATGGGGAAGAAAACTTGTTTTAAAGAACAAGTAAAAATAACTTAGAAGGAATATATAACTTGTTTCTATGTAAAAGAATCCTTACTAAAATCATTGATCTCTGCAGGGACCTTGCACAAATTTGTCTGACATAGTTTAATTAGTGCTCCTGAAATCTCACTTAATTTAGCTATCAGACTACTTCTTAAAGCAGGTTCAGCACTCTCTACGACAATACAGCTCTCTACAGATGTGTTACTATGTTTAATGATAATAATGGTAACTTATTGTTAATAGTCATTGCATTTTAAATAATGCAAATGTGAACTGATGAGATTTTTGAGTTTTGAAGCAATTAAAATTTATAGTGAAAATATACGGATTATATAAGAGAGATGGTATAGGCTAGGCCCAGGAGCCAGATTTTCAGGGTTCGAATAGTAGCCCTGCCCTTCATTACCTGGGTGACCTTGAGAAAGGTTCTTAACATCTCTGGCTCAGTTTCTTCACTTTTACAAAGGAGATAATGGGAGTGATGATCACGTGTGGTTGTTGTGCTAAAACATGTAGCCACTTAACAGTATGTGAAATATAATAAACACTCAAAAGGGAATTCGTAGAACCACATAGCTACTTGAACTGAATATTTACATATGCAAATCAAAATTAAATCAAAACTAAATTGTTAAATATTTACATGCCAGATAAAACTAACTATGCCTCTGTGCTATAGACATTATAAATCTTAGTTGCATTTAGTCCTCATGTTTCCCCCAGGTAAGTACCATACCTGTTTTACAGATGGAAAAACAGTCTTAAATTCATTAACGTGTGTAAGGTCGTGGCACTAATAGGAGCAGAACGAGACTCGCTGCAGGTCTCTCGTCCCATCCGCACTGCCACGCTGCTCGTGTGGATTCCCCCCATCCCACAGAGCATTGCTGAGATGTGTCTTAAATAAAGTCACATACTGGGGAGGAGCATGCTTTACTCAAAGCAATAGGTCTACCAGAAGGTTACAATGAAAATGGTTGAAATGAGTACAGATTCATTTAATGTTTAATTAATGATATTTTAAACGCTTTGCTACTCATCTTTAACATTTCTCCCACTTGTATGTGTGCTCTATATATAGAAAGTAGCATAATGATTTGCCCTTCCTAATTGATTATTTTGTCATCTTTTTCTTTTTTTCTTTCGCTATACTTGGGTTCATTCTGAAATGTGACACTTCATTTGGCCCTTTGTGCTCTATGTCAGCGTCTTCAACTTTATGGATACCATTCACCTACTAATAGTGTATGTACAATACTTTAAATGTTTTTATGTGAATAGCACTCACCTGTTATACTTGATAATGTTATTTTGTTATATAAAGCTGTATCTGCTACTGAAAGTGTTTAGGAATTTATTGAATATAATAGGATACAACCAAGTCAAAATTTTTTATTTCCTTCCTAGATTTATGAGAAGACTAAAATTTACAGAGTAATTGTATGTCTTTAACTTTGCATTAAAATAAAGATGAGTGAACAATCACCAAAAAATCTGGTAGAACAATTGAAATTTTATAATTTTCAGCAGTATTTGAAGAGTTAAATACAAATTTTGGAGCAGATTTTCAGTCTGTGCTCCTGCAGAACACAGGTATTTTAAGAACTAGATCTACATATCTGATATACATTCTCTTCTCAACTCTATTAGAGAGGCACGGTAATGGATAGCCTTTTCTTAGTTTTCAGTATTTCTTCCCAATTTTTTTCTAAAACCTTTGATGCCTGCCTATTGCCTATGGTCTATACAAAAGTCTGGTATAAGATGACATTTGATATGCTTAATATATCATGTTATTTCTCAAAGAGGATTATGATATTCAGACTCTTCTTTTCCTGACAAAGTTGGGAGCTTGGTAAATGATCTTTCAAATGTACTCTTCTTATGCTAAGCTTTCTTCTTCTTTCCTTTCTGCTGGAAAGCTGAGCTTGTTGGTTAGCCCAGCTACTAAACAACTAAGAGTAGGTTGTGCCCCTTTTGAATGTAAGCACGCACAATTCATTTAATTTTCCCAAGGTTAGAAAGATCCCTCAAATGATACAAATTCCACCTGAGAGAAGGCCTTGAATTCAGGGTGACTGACTCAGTATTATTGTGCTAAAAGTGTTCAGTTTAGTGTGCAACTCCATAAGTAGCTGTGCTGCCTCATGTATTGAATAATCAAAAGTCCAAGCTGCGTTCTAGATTTGCATATACTGGAGGTTGATTCAGCATGGGATAAACCTAAGATATCTTGCCAAAGTCACAGGGAATGGACCTAGAATGGGTTGGAGAATCAGGCAAGTCCAGGGGACCCATATGATAGATTAGTTATTTTGATTCCTTATAAGATACTTAAAATTTTTTTTGACAAAATTTGCTACTATTTTTCATTAAATAAGGTCTATTGTTTTCTTAAAATTTTAAAAAGATTCCCCTTAGCCACTTTAAAGATTTGTAAGAATATGAAAGATAAAAATCTTATGGTTTATAATGCTATGAGCCTTGTGAAACTTAATAAATGTTAATATTTATAACATCAGTATCTATTTTTCTAATCAAATAATTGGATGAGCTATTTTCAAATTGTGGCAATTTATAGTTTCCCTTTAAACTCATAAATAATTTTCAAAAAATGCAAGCAAACAAGGACAGTTCATTTCAATTTAGAAAAATTTCAGATAGCCTAAAAATTTATATGAAATATCATTGGTGTATGTATTGCACAAATATATTAGTATAATGTTATGAATTAACTGGTCATTATCTGCTAGTTTACAGAGCTCTAGATCAACTGGAAGATAAAGTATTTAAAGTGAGTACAGTTCATGGAGCTGAATATGACCTAAGATTCTACCTTTACGAAGAAGTTCCTCAGTAAAAACAGAGGCCCTCTTGGCTTTTATACAGAGACGGAGATTCCGTGTCCTCTGTGGCAGTCCGTTTCACAGATGTAATCACTGTTGCACTAGATTCTGCTTGTGTTCAATCAAATTATTTTTTTTTTTGCTCTATTTCTTGTTTCAGTGTTCATGAAATCATTACCTTACAACCTTTTCTGTTCCAAAGAACCCTGATTATTTTCATATTTCTCATGTAGCCAGACAACTCTTGATTGTCTTACTACTATATTGAAAAGAAATATTAAGAAATCAAAAGAATAAATATTGCAAAAGTCAGGTATATTTGATTTTGGCATGCCTTATGTGACTTTTTAAAGTATTTAAGATTATCTGAATTGTCCTATTTCCATTGTGGTCAGAAAATGTACTAATTTTTATACAGTTTTTTGATGTGTATCGAGGCTTCTTTTATGGACCAAAACAATGTCAATATTCATAAATGATCTGTTCGAAAAAATGTGTATTTTCTATTTTGGGTACAGGGTTATGTTTTTGAGATAAGACTATATGTGTCTGTGTGTATATATATATATATATACACATTTATATAGATATATATATAAGAATATATATATGATCAAACATGTTAATTATTTGTTTTAAATCCCTATCATTATTAATATTTTTGTCTGATCGGATCTGTTAATTAATATGTTAAGTTATACATTACAATGATAGACTTGTCATTTTCTACTTATAATGCTGTCATTTTTAATTTCACATATTTTAAAACATTGCCATTGCCTATTGGAGAATATAAGTTAGTTACATCTTTTTAGTGAATTGAATCTTCTATCACATACCATCCCTAGCTGACCAGAAATTTTTTTTTGCACTGTACAAGGGTAAAATGGACCACCTCAGTAGCTTCTGAGGCCAATGCATTTCCATCACCACCATTACCTTAGCTAACCTGGTTTCCCTCTCTTCCGCAACATCATACAGTTAGTGGTTGAGTTTGCATGAAATGCTTTTATCTTAAAGTCTATGTTGTTGTTAGAATAAATATGCTACCTTTATTTGTATTAGTATTTTTTTTACAGATCAAGTGTTTTATTGTATTTTCCATTACCATTTATCTCCCTTATAACCCCACCCCCACCCTGACCTTTATTTTGTGTTAATAGTTTGTTTTTTATTTTCTATTTTTTTCCTCTAGTGATGATAAGCTTTTCCTGACTTTTAAAATATATTTTTAGTCAGAAATTTACTTCAAATAAAATATAATAAAATAACTAATAATAAAAGTTTAACCACCACATAGACCAAAACTAAACATTGCTATTCCCCCAAAAGCCCCTTCATATGTCTCTCCAACCGTAATCCTTCCCTCTTCTCCAAAAGATAACTAGTCATAACTTTTATGTAAATCACATCTTTGCAACTTTACCACCTACTTGTACATCATAAATAATATAATATAGTTTTACCCATTTTGAAACTCATGCAAATGGGTTTCATATTATATGAGTTTCATATAAATGGGATCATATTATATGAGTTTCAAGTTTCTCCATGTCTTGTTTCTTTGTCTCAACATCATGATTTGTCAATTTCATTTTTTATTGTTGTATCTAATCCTAGTTCATACACTTTTATCACTGTATGCAGCAGTTCTCAAACATTTTGTTTTTAGAACCCCTTTCCATTGTTGAAAATTATTGAGGACCCAAAAGAACTTTTGTTTATGTTGGTTATATCTATCTATATTTATTATATTAGAAGTTAAAATTGAGAAACTTAAAAATATTTATTAATTCATTTTAAAATAAAAACACAAGTTAACAAATGTTTTATGAAAAATAACTCCAAAAATGTAAGGAAGACACTGGTATATTACATTCTTTGCAAATCTCTTTAATGTACTGGCTTCATAGAAGACAGCTGGTTTCTCACAGATGCCTCTGCATTCAATCTATTGCAGTATGTTATTTTGGCAACAATACTGTCCGTGGTTTCCGTTGGAGTGACAGGCTCACTTGGTTCACTTTTTAAAAAAACATCTGCCAGATACCAAAGTGTGAACAACCATAGTTTGTCTGTCAGTTTTTCTTTCAAGTAAAAATGGTTGTTCATGAAAGAAGTGACTACTCTTTTCAGCACAAACCATCACACAAATGTTTTTTCTGATAATAACCATATTACTTCAGTAGGCAGGAGAAGTGCATGCTTCCTGTTTCGTCACACTGAATAGTGAAAAGATGTGGGCTCAAAGGTCAGTTTAACAAAATTGTAAGTTTATTCTTCAGCAAGTATAAGTGAAATTTTTTTTTTTAATGTGAGTATATGGAACTGAAGAATGTAATCACTTTGGACTTTGGTGCCACTGCCATCCTTATACTAAGACTTCAGAAGGTTTACCCACCGTTGCTTTTGCAGCATCATTGCAACTGTCAACACAATACCAAAGGCAAAGTACTGTCTTTAAGAAGCTTTGAAGGAGATTCCTGTTTTATATCTTGTCCAGCTTTTTCAGTTATTCTCAGTGAGAAGATAGGCTATTGGCTAGCCTATCATTTAACAAACTCTGGTATATCTTTTCACCCTCTCTTTCCTTATATTTTAGATGTGTCTTTATTAAAGGTATATTTTGTGTATTTTATTGGTTCTTTTTTATCTGTGTTCTAATTGGGAAATTCAGTTAATTTACATTACCGTGATTACTAATTTACTTGGATTTATTTTTAGCCATTGTGTTTAGTTTTATTCTTTCCATTTTATTTCCTTCTGTATTCATTTAGAAAACATTCTATTCTATTTCCTCTGTATTCTTGAAATGTTAATAAGTGTACTTAAAATAATGCAGTCTTGGATTAGGCCATATCTTTACTCTTTTCCTTAAAAATGATTCTTAAAGTGCTTTAAAATCTTTCCTTCTCCTCCTGGCATGGGTACTTGACATTGCACAAAGTTTGCCTTTGTCTTTTTTTTTAATACCACTAATTAGACTTACTAAATACATACCATCAGTATTTGTTTAGAATTACATATTTGCCATTTCTTACTCATTAATTCCCCCTTTAATCTCACCTATTCTTATATCCTCAAGTGAGGGTCTTTTGGTAAATTTTTTTAAAACCCTCTTTCTGGAAATTGTCTTTATTTTGCCCTTATTTTCCCCAAGTTTTATTAAAATATAATTGACACATAACATTGTATTAGTTTAAGGTATACACCATCATTTGATATATGTATATATTGCAATAAACTTAATTAACATCCATCACCTCACATAGTTACATATTTTTTTCCTTGTGATAAGAACTTTTAAGATCTCTCTTAGCAAATTCCTGTATACACTGCAGTATTGTTAACTATTGTCACCATGCTGTACATTATATTATTTATTTTATACTTGGGAGTTTGTACTTTTAACCATCTTCACCCACTTGCCCATCCCTACCCTGCCACCTGCCTCTGGCAACCACTAATCAATATGTTTCTATGACTGTGATGCTCTCTTTTCAACTATTTTTTTAATTGAAGTATGATTAACATATAACATTGTATCAGTGTCAGGTGTACAACATAAGGGTTCAATATACATATATACATCCTTACTTTGAAAGATGATTTTACTAGATATATTATTGTACGTTGACACTTATTCGCAACAAATTATATCATTTCAGGTTTCTGACTTCTTTTGTTGAAATTGAAGTCAGCTCTGAGTCTAATTATTATTCTTTTGTAGATAATCTGTTTTCTTTCTGACTACTTTTGAGATTTTGTTTGCTTTTGGTATTCTACAATTTTACTATAGTTTATCTCTGTTTGCTCTTATCTGTCATGAAATTTATTGTGCTTCTCAAATATGAGGATTGTTTACAATTCTTGAATATTTAGTGCCAATATCTCTCTGAATATTGTCTCTTCCCATTTCTGTTACTACTTTCTGAAACTTTCACAGATATTCACTTTCTCCTTTGTCTCTAAACTTGTCTTTAATAATTTGCCATATTTTTATCTTTTCACATTAACATTCTGTATAATTATTCATATTATATTCCTATTTACTAATTATCTCTCCAGCTATATATGATATGATATTAAGTTTTAGTGGTTCCAATTTTCATTTCTAGATGTTTAATTTTGTTCTTCTAATCTTTGTATTAACTAACTACTAATCTTTTAATTAAAGATTAAATTAAATCTAATTTAATTTCTAATCTTTTTTTGGTACTCTGTTTTTCCTGAAAAATCCTTTCAAATACAGCTGCTTTTTTTTAACTTAATAAGTTTATTTTGTATTCCATATTTAATAATTTGAATAGCTGAATTCTGCAGGTCTAGTTCTATTGCTTGTTATTTCTTCTAGTTCTCACTTATGGTAGCTTATGTTCTTTTACGTTTAGTAATTTTGTATTGTGAGCATATATTTGTTGGAATGCGTCTGTGTGGATTCTTTAAAGACTCAGTTAAGGGTGTGTTTTCCTTGGGAAGATTTTGTTTGTGCGTGTGTGTGTGTGTGTGTGTGTGTGTGTCTCTTTTCCTCACGCAGTGGAGGGAAACTACAATCTCATTAACTTTACAATTCTCACATTATTGTTATGTCAGACCGCCGCAGTTGTCATACTGGTACAGATTCTAAGGTTTTATATTTTTCTCTGTGCATTTTTAAATATCACTAATAGTAAAGACAGTTTGCTGTCTGATTCTGTGGGCTGCTACTTTGGTTGGTGGGTTGTTGGTTTTTTTTTTCATCGTTTGACTAATCTCTGAATATAACCATTCTCAGACCCTAGTTGTATGTAGAGTATTTTCCTGTCTGGACAGTATATATTTTCATTTCTAAATCAGTCTTCTTTTTTTTTTCCTAACTTTTTTCTTCTTTCCTTTCATCTTAATTTTCTCCCTTCTTTTATTTCCTTCCTTTTTTCCTTCCTCTTTCCTTCCGTCTTGGTCCTTTTGGGATGCTATAGCCAACTGCCATAAACTGGGTGGCTTATAAAGAATAAACATCTCTCACAGTTTTGGAAACTGGGAAGTCAAAGATCATGGAGCCTGCAGATTCAGGGCGGTGGCTGATGAGGGCCTACTTCCTGATTCATAGACAGCGTCTTCTTGCTGTGTTGTCACATAGTGGAAAGGGGCAAAGGAGCTCGCCTGGGCCTCTTTTATAAGAGGTCTAATCCTATTCATGAAGGCTCTACTCTCATACATAATCACCTTGCAAAGGCTCCACCTCCTAATACCATAACCTTGGGGGTTAAGGTTTCAACACACAAATTTTTCAGACCATAGCTTGCCCTTGTCTCCTGCTCTCCCTCCCCTGCTTCCTTCCTTCCTTCCTTTTCTCCTCCCTTCCCTCCTTCCTTCCATCATAAATGCCATGGAATGGCTTGCATAGGACCATGCTTTGGCTCAGCCAAAAAGTCATTAGGAATTCTTGACCCAAACTGCAAAGTTTAAGGAAGTTCTACTAATAACAAACTCTAAACTTAGGCTAAAAATTTACCGGACTTACAGGATACAGTACGTTTGAGGCATCATTTTGCCTGTACCATTCATTTTAACGTTCTTCTGAATGATCTATGTCTTTTTCCTCTTTGAGTGAAGGTCTGCACCTACCTTACACTGGTAAGGAGGCCTAAAGCTCACAGAGTTGTCAGTGACACTAAGAAGACTGAAGGAAGTCCTTGCCAATTTTTCTACATGTCAAAACGTTTCCTCGCAATCACATTACTCAGTCATATTTGGACACGTTCCCCTATCAGTCTTTCCTTTGCCTGCATGCACATGTTCTGATTTTTGTATTTGCTTTGTATTTCTTGTTAAAATCTATTCCGATTTTTATGGGTATCTTAAATTTATTTTAAATATCCTATTATATTTTTCTGGTATTAAAGATTTCTATTTTGCATGTTCTGAAATTTTACTTTAATTATATTATCAAAGTCATTAATTAAATCATTAAATACTGGCCCTTTAACAGACATGCATACAGGAATCTGTGTGCCAGGAAAGTCACTAATATCTTAGCTATATTTTCTTGTTAATTGTATACCATATATTTACTTAAGGCAGGCATGACAGTAGTTGCTGTGAGAATATTGTCCCTTCTGTCAGAAATGATAAAATGTAAAAGACTCTTTAAGGTAATTGCAAAAATTCAGTTATATATTCTAGCATAATTTATTCTTTGGAGCTAAATAAAAAGTGGGAAAACTTTCTGTAGGAGAAGACTATTAACCTGTTATGCTCTAAATAACCTTTTTATTTTAAAAGGTTATGTATTATCCTGATAGATAAATACACATTCTTATTTTAAAATATAGGAACACAAAAAGAAAATAAAAAAATATTTTAATGCCACCGTTCAGAGATAATCAGTACCTAGGAGCATATTTACCTCTTTTCTATATGCAGAAAATATATTTTTTCTAGAGAATCATGTCACTAAAGTTTATAAAACTAATTTTACTCCTTAATAAACTGTAAATATTTTTTCTGATGTCATCAGTGTTTGTGTATATGTGTGTGCGTGTGTGACGGGGGCAAGTGTTTGGAAATAGGGGAAAGGCGTAGCTTCACTAAGCAAATGATTCCTGTCACCCTCCTAATAACAGTACATAAAGCCTTATTTGCTAGTTTGACAGATTTAATAATCCCTTTGTTTATCATATGCTAACCTTCTGATTCAATTTAAAAACACATCCGTGTTCAAAATATTTAGACATTTGCAGAGTATTTAAGCTAACTACCATTTATTGAGGTTCTACCAAACCTGTATAAAAGAAAATGAACTGTATTAGTTCTATATTCAATTTATTTTACTTATTTAGCTTATACCAATTAGTTAAAGCTTTTTTAGTTACAAAAGGGGCTAATGAGCAGATTCTCTGTCATATTGTTACATTTACACTTACAGTAATGTCTGTGTTATACAAGTGATTCCTGCTACCTGTACTGTATTATTAACATAATTAAAGATTTTATTAAAATATGGGCAATAGGCAGTGCTTTCTAGTTAATAATACACTAAAACTTAGATTGTTGAAGTAATTCTCAGATGCATAATAATTTTTAGTGTCATCAGTCTTTTAATAATTAACACACACAAAAATAAAAGTTCTCTCAGTATCAGCCACTCATTCCTAAGTATATCATGCAGCATTTTCTTCCCACAGTAAGTAAAAGAACCTGCAGAATCTTCTTGATAAATCCTGACAGAAACATGCGTTTAATCATTTTTGAGGCTCTATAAACTTATCAACTTGGTAAGTTTATAGACTCCTTAAACTCCTAAGCATATTGTTCTGCATTTTCATATGAAGATTAGACCACACTTCTTAATCTTGATACCACCTTCTGCAGACTAGTCAATGCTGAGGTAGAAGCTAGTGTTCTGTCCTTGTAATTGATTAGGAAGTACCTTACCTATTCACAACAGACACACCTATCAAATCCCTGAGTAGCTCTGAGTAGTTTTACTTAAACTGGCTTGTTTTGTTTGACAAGTTTTGGATTAATTTAAATTTTGTTTCTCTAAAGAATGAATATGGTCATTTTGAGTCTTTGATGCACTAACACAATGCATGCTAGGCAGCACAGATTCATTTTTAAATGAATCATGAATTTTATTGATTGCTACAAAACTCTCCAGATAGTCTACAAATGAATTTACTTCACATAAAGCGTGAATAAAATTTTTATTTCACACTTTCTTAGAAGTTATGCATGTTTCAGTAGAAGGGCATGGGCGAGAGGGTAAAGAATATGATTCTTTCTGACAAAGCCACAATGTACTTAGAAATATTGGTTATATACTATTACACCTTTGAAAATGCCCTGGGTTTACCAGCAATGTAATACAATACTGTTGTGTGCCGCAGAAAACAAAAAAGGTAAGCTAATGTGTTTTCTTTTCAAGGTTCGCTAGAAGAGATTCAAAGTGTATAAATTATCATTCTTTGTGACTATTCTTTAGATTTCAGTTGTGCTTCTTAAAACTTCTACAGGTACTTAAAACAGATGCTGAGGAACTTGTCTCCAGAAGCTATTGGGATACACTGAGACGTAACACAAGCCAAGCACTCTTTTCAGACCTCGCAGAGGTATAATTAAACCTCACCCAGGTCATTGTACTATTTGCCATTTTGTTAGTCTTGTCCTCACTTCATTTTAGAGTCATAAGGATGGAACCAAAAATGTATTTTATAATTTTCCTTTTCTCCAGTAAAGCAAGAGTTTTTATCTGTAAATGGTCTATTTGAATATGTTAGCTGTACTGGCAGAGGCTGCAAGATCACCTAAAATGGTCTACCTTAAATCAACTTGTTTGTTGTAGAAAATATGACTTTCCAAGTGAATTAAGAGGGAATGTTATTTTTTACTTAAGGATCACTTTCAGAAAATTTGAAAATGCTAGTTTATAGTTTCACAGGTTTTCCTAACCTCTAACTTGCAATGTTACATTAAATGCTGAAACTTTAACTTGGTAAAAGATAACTAATACTTTAGCATTACGGGAGATTTAAAGAATTAATTTTCCTACTATTAATAGAGTAGCTCACCAAGGTTAGGGTACGGAGCAGGTGTGGTAGGAACGGTCAGTCAAGGAAAGGAAGACTATTTCACCTTGACATTGTGTAGGATTGCCAGTGCATGGGGAAAAGCAGACTGACTATATATCCAGGCTGTTTTTGAATTTCATAGAGACACACACCTTATTGCTGCTCTCAGACAGCACCTACCATCCCCTCTGATTCTGCTGCTCCCAACAGGGCTTTGTCATTTTAAAAGATAGGCCATGTCTTGTAGCTTAGACACCATTGTGTGTTTTCTATTAAGAATTTTTCAGAACTTTTTTGGAGATGTCTATTAGTCTTACCACAAAGAATTCTTCAATAAATAGTAAAAGACACATACAAGGTCTGTCCAGAAGGTATACAGCCATGCAATGTGGAAAATAGAGACATTTATTGAAGAAGATACAAGATACAAGAAACACTGTACATAGGACAATGACGCCTGAGTCCCCTTCAAAGCAGGCACCTTGGGACCTCACACAGGTCCCCCAATTGCCATCAGCTGCCCTGTCATATTTTCCTGACTCTCACAGATGGTCCGGAATCTCTTCCCTTTCAAAGGTGATTTTAGTTTTGGGAAAAGCCAGAAGTTACAGGGCCCCACCTGTGGGCTGTAAAGGGACTGAGTCACCTGGGCGATTTGATCTTTCGCCAAAAAACTGCACAAGATGTGATGCATGAATGGGTGTATTTTTGTGATGAAACTGCCAGTCCCCAGGTGCCCACAGCCGAGGCCTTCTCAGTCATCCCAGTAGCTTCCGTAGAGGAAGATTCAAGCTTAATGTAAATTTTGATGCAGGTTCATTGTCCTACTTAATCATTTTGAATGTGACGGCCACACAGTCCACATGCTCACACAACAGCATCTACTGCCCCCCCCCCCGACTAACAGAGTAAAGTTGTCCTTGTTCACGCGTGCGCATTCCATCCAGTCCACTCTCCGTGGCTGCCAGGTGACACGGATGTCGTGCAAACCATCCTCGTTCCATTCACAATGGTTGGACTTTTTCTGGACAGACCGCATGTTTTTATTAGCTTTTTTTTCTTGATAGAGTGGGCTTCTCATTTCACTTTTAAAGTTTGATGTTTAAAAGTTACACCTAAAAATATCTAGAGAAGTAAACGAGATCAGGTGTAATTTCTGTTATTTATATATACAGTGTTAATTGATATCTCTAGGGCAAACACTTAGAAATGTTCATTTTTTTTCAATTGCACTCAATTTTAAAAATCCCCAAATAAAGCACTTTTCCCTATCTCAAATCTGCCTTTGATATAGCAATATGATATAATTATAATAAGCAATTAATCTTTCAAGATTACCTTTTAAATGTGAACTGTTTTTAGGCCTGATGTGGTAATAGATGCTTCATTTACAGATATTTTAGAAGTCCCTCCTTCTGGAATCACCTGTGCAGGCACAAAGTAAAGGCACTACTGTGAGCCCTTACTTTTCAGTGCTTAAAAGTAAGAGCTACTCCAGGCACCAGCCCTCAAGTCCCTACATGCCACTGGGGCCAAACTCCCGGTCTTGTCGTGCCATTGTCTCTCCCCGTACTAGACTGCCCACGTCTCAGCCTCCAGCCTATCTTTAATCTCATTTAACTCTGCTAGAAATTCTCACAATTAGACACAATCTGTTCATTAGAAGTTGAGTTTAATTTAAATCCTGGGAGGTTTAAAATCAGAAGACCAGTCAGCTCTTACATATACTTAGAGATTATACATGATTAGAAGATCTTTTGAAGACGTTGAGCACTCTGTCAGAGGCGTGCTGGAGCTAGCTTTTCTGGCTTCCCACAGCTAATTCTGTACATCTTTTCCCAACTCACCATTTTGTTCGATCCCATTGGTACCGTGGAAGTGCCCATGACAGGAGTGTTAATACCACAGAAATTGGCGAACACTACAGACCAGCCTTTTTTTCCTGGTGAGCCAGTTTACATAGCACACTATTGGCTGTAGTCAATCCGCATTATAATCATAAGATGCTAAATTAATTAACGAATTGATTCAGACATCATTAAAGTAAATCTTACGGAGAAGAGAAAGTGGGAAAGAAAAAGGAAAAGACAAAACTTGAATTCCAAAGAAAATAAGTGTGTGGGAATTATCTTTGTTACCATCCCTTCGCCCCACCACACACACGTTAGGGTAGTTGAGAATTAACTGTAGTTAAATTACAACTCACTCTAACTCCTCATAGGTTCTGACTGCTGCCAGGGTAACACTGAATTGTATCAGTATTTCAAGATTCAAATTGGTTCAGAAAGAAAGCTTTATAATTTATATGTATTTTTTGTTACTTATATATTTAAAAATGTAAATACTGAGGTAAGCCTTTTTCTTTAAATACTGTAGATAAATTTGAGAGTAGCCTGTCATTCTTATTCCAGAGCAGTTTCTCACAATAGATATTTTTCAATTATAGTGAAACCATACTACAATGAAAAGTTGAATATGCCAGAGCCAGCACCATTTTCTAACCAAAATAATAGATAATAAATTTATAGTGTAAGTCTCTCACACAATTGTTGAATACAGTCTTAGTACTAGAATTATAAAAACTATTTTGAATTTTATACATAAAATTTTTTTGTTTGCTTTAAACTTTACTTGTCCTTAATAAATTTCAATAAATTATTCAGAACCTTTGCCAACAAATCAAGAGTTTGACAATTTCTTCCAAGCCCTTGAATAGAGCTTGATAAGATTATCCCATTGTAATCAATAAAAATATGTTGAAAGAATACCCTTAAAACCCTTCAAGAGTTTGACAAACTTTTATTTCATGCAGATTTACTAATTTGTTTATTGCACTTTTTTTATGAACACATTTACAGTAAATTTAAGTCAAAACAAAGTTAGATAATGGCCTTTTGGGTAAATGACCCATGGGTTCTTTTGTGGCAGTTTCATGCTTTGTTATGAAAACACCTGAATTCAATTTATTTTAACAATGAGCACAAGAATCAAAGGGATAAAGTCTCTCTTTTTGTCTTACCCCCCCCGTGATGTAAGTTATATAACACTGTTAGGGCACCGAGGGCCCTGGTATAGTTTTCAATGGCTCCCAACAGTGCTCTGTTTCATTGCATGGGGGTGGAGGAGTTTTCACCATTTCCATTTTCTAATTTTTTTCCTCTAATGTCAAACTCTTACTTATGCCTCTGTGGGTCTGGATTATCTGGATAAGTGCAACCTAAGTCTAATAAGATTTTGATGATGAAAGACTGTAAATGAAGATATGCCCTGCTCAGTGGGCATGAGAAAACCTGGCTGAATGAGGTCATTATTTAAACCTGTGTAAAACAAAGCCATCTTATTTCAGTGTACTATGGCCTGAGGTAAAGGACATCACTAGAGAAGGCATTCATAATTACGTTATCTGAGTTTACTAACTTTTGGGGTTCCCGTAACATCTCATTTTAAGGCATTTTTTTTTTCAGATCTATATAACATATATGTGTGGTTTCAATAACAAAATTAAAAGTGTACCACATAAAAATCTCTTATGGTTTGGCAGTAAGTTTCAACATTATTATCTTTTCTATCTTGTCTGGCCCTTTTGTAATTTCTTGAAATATGTTGATTTGGCCAAAATAATAATAGCTAACATTTATTGGATATTCACAACATGCCAGTTATAGTGCTAAGTGATTTGTGTGTGTGACCAAATGCTCACAGCAGTCCTTCGGAGTAGGTGCTGTTGTTATTCCTGAGGATAATCATATCCTCAGAGAGATGACTTCCCCGAGGTCACTTAGCTAATACTGAGAAAAGTCAGGACTCAAAGCCAAAATTCTGACTCTTGAGCTCCTCGTATTTGTTCACCACACTACTGCTTATTTGTGAAATAAGCAACTTTTTTCTAAAACACCGTCCCTCCTCCTCTTAGCCATTTTGTCCCTCCCCCACATTCCGCTCCTCTAGCTTCCAGATGGACGACCCAGTTCCTCATGCTGACTTCGGATTGGCTATAGCCTTCACTCTTATGCTCCATTTAGGCTTGCCTTCTCAGGTATTTCCTTCCCCTGCTCATTGAAGCTGTCCCATGGATAATAAACTGACTAGACTTGATTGTATACAATCACCAAGAAAGGTCTATAATCAACATGGGATCTCTTCCCCTCCCCACCAAAGTCAATATTTTTTTGTCAAAGCATCTTATGACTGCCAGTAAGAACATTTGTGTGTTTCTTTTACACTCATATTCTCATTTCATTCTCAAAATCGCTGTTATAGAGTATTCCCATTTTACAGATAAGACAGATAGAGTTCAAACCCAGGTCTTCTGATTTTAAATCCTGCTGGTCCCATTATGGCAGTCTGCCTCCTCAGCCTGAAGCTGCTGGTGAAGGCAGCCGTGCCTTCTGAGCACTGCGCACGATCACCCTCGTCCGCTCTCATGGGGGGCCCTGAAAGGCCGGTACCGCCGGTATTCCTCACCATCCATAGTGAGCTTGTTCAGGAAAGTATGTTTAAAAAGCAGTGCCTGACACCGGGTTTGCTGGCTGTGTTCTTTTCCCCCTAGCAAGCACGTCTTCAAAGAAGTTGCTTATGATATAGGGAACTGCTTGGTTACTGCAACTTCGGAGCATGCTTGGGACTTGTCAACAAACTAAACTGAGAAACAGTAGAGATCTTCTGAATCTAAACCAATTATAAGGAGGTTATGCACCAGAGATGATTTTGAAAACTTCAACTGAATTACTTAAATATAGACGAGATGATTACTAAGAATTTTAATAATTTTAGATAATTTAAAGCAGAAGATATCCTACCTGTTGGCATTTTTAACAGAGATGTGAGTAGTCAAGGTAGCAGAGAGATCATTTTAGAAAAAGTGTCATGGATTAAAAGTAGGGCATGCTGGAGGGGAAAAGACCAACTGGGCTAGTCATTAGAAGAGAGTAATGTTTGGTTTAGGGAGAAATGAAATAAAGACCCTATAAATGCTATGAAAGATAAAATAGCTGTCTTCGAAGATTGGAAAGAGGGCTCTGAGGAGTCAAAAGACACCGTATGATTTCACTCATCTGTGGAATCTCATGAACAAACTGAACAAGCAAAACAGAGGCCGACTCAGAGAGCAGGAGGACAGCTAAGGGGGGGGGGAGGTTACAAGGTGGGAGGGTTGAGCAAAACAGAGGAAGGACTCATGGACGTGGACAACAGTGTGGTGCTTGCAGGGCCGGAAGGCGGGGTATAAGGAGACTAAATGGTAATGGAAAAAAACCTATCTTTTTAAATATTAAAAACAAAATTTAAAGTGTGGAAGGGGAGAAAAAAACTGATCCTTTGTAGAGAAGTATATGCTTTCTATTTCTTATATGTGGGGGGGTGGGTTGTCATGGGGGTCCTTATTGTCAGAGTTCTGGCCAAGAAGTAATACATTTCATATATGTCCCTTTTAATAGAGAAAGTAGTAGTTATTATTTGACCTCTTAATTTTCATATATTTCCAAGATAATGTATGAGAGAGGTACAATTATGTGAAATTTATCATTTTTTTTACCTGAATTTGTAAGATAGGTATGAGTTGATGGCCAAATGAAGAAGGAAGGGAACAGAAGGGGAGAGAAGGTGGTAGGAAGGGGAAAGAAAGGAAAAACCTATAACGCTACATTAAAGGACATATGATGTTTTTCCATAGACCATTGAACTTTATAGGAAAATAATTCAGTTATTTTAAGAATATACTTGTTAGAACTTAGTTTATCAAGTTGAGCAGGAAAGGAAAAAACCCTCTGGAATTTTTCAAAAAATAACATAAGACTTTTTTAAAACAATTACAGATGATGTAAATTCCAAAGTAATACTACTGTGGTTTCTCTTTCAAAATGTAATATCTTCTACCTAAGGTACCATAAATATGGAATACAATAAAAGCATATCATGGCTAAAGGAAGGTATTGTGTAAAGCTTGAGACCATTCCTTTGTCAGCCCCATATGTTCAATAAACCTGAAGAATTCACCTCTCTTGAACATCCTAAAAAAAAGGATTTTTCAAGTTGAGTAAGAAAATCCATACTATAAATTACTTAAGTAAAAATAAAATAGATGATTAGTAAAGGAGTACAACTATTTTAGGTAATTTAAAATATAGATACCCTATATGCATAATTTGAAGTCGAAAATTTCCTAAAGGGTATAATCATATTTTAAAAAATTTTTGAGGATAAACATAGATTTTATTAATATCTCTAATGTCAGACTTCATTTTAACTGTAATGGCATTTATTAACAGAGCCTTATGCTTTTCATTCTAATATTAGTACATTTGTATTTTGGATATTTATATGTTGACAAAATACTTTGAGGGATATTGGGTATCCCTATTCTGTTTGTTTATTGCAGCTAACTTTTAAATTGTAATTTTTTTTTTAAGCGTGCTGATGACATTACGAGTTTAGTAGCAGATACTACACTTCTTGTACACTTTTTTGGAAAAAAAGGAAAAGCTGAGCTCAACTTTGAAGATTTTTATAGGTGAGCTTAATTTTTATATTTGTATTGAAGAAAATGTTAACATGCTGAAGTGACAAAGGCCTTTAGAATCATCTAGAGCAGCAGTACCTCTGTGCTGTTTTCACCTGCCTTAACAAATATCCACTTCTGGCTGTACCTGTAAACCAGTGGTTTTATTGATAAGTATAAGAGGAAGTTACTGAATGATTAAAAAAGAGTCTGGATATCTGGACTGTTATTTCCTATACATACAGCAGTACTGCAGCGAACACTGGACACGACATGTTAACCGCTTTAAGTCTCATCACTACCCTGCGGGGTATTTTTGGTTATGCCCATTTGGCAGATGAAGCACCAGAGCGCTGAGAGGCTGAGTACCGTCTGTTTTCTTCATTCTTTATGTATTTTTGTCTTAGATTCATGGATAACCTTCAAACAGAAGTTCTAGAGATTGAATTCCTTTCCTACTCTAACGGGATGAATACTATCAGTGAAGAAGATTTTGCTCATATTCTTTTACGATATACAAATGTGGAAAATACATCAGTATTTTTGGAAAATGTACGCTACAGTATACCTGAAGAAAAGGTATCTAATCCCCCATATTTATTTTGTTACACATATTATTATCTTATTATATAGATAATTATATTATTCTTATTATATCATACGTTGTCCTTTTTTAGTTCTTTTGCTTATCTGTGGGTTAATAGATACTTTGGATGTATTTCATTTTTTCCTATGGTTCCTAAGTGTTCTGGCCAAATTTTAAAAATTCATTAATTTAAAATTCTGAGTAGATATTCCTATTTTTCTCAGATATGCTAAAAACCATTAAGGTTGTTAATTATTTTATTCAGATTATGAATATTGTTTTTCCAGAGAATTCTGCTGAGCTGTCTGCTTTGACTACTGCATAAACATCACCTCACACAAAGCCGTTTACATTGACATCACTTCAGTCACACTTTATTCATTTCTGTAATATTCTTAGTAAAAGGTCATTTGAAAATGGCCATTGATGAGTGAGTGATCTTATCAGCAGCTGAAGTGAGGTTTTTCAAAGAGTTTGGATGGCATGAATGGTTAAGAACCTGGAACAACTGATTGTCTATTTGTTTAGCAGCAAGTGTTTTGTCAGCAGTTCTGAGCAGTTGTGCATTATCTAGTGGTCTTTGAATGCATCGTTGCAACCAAATAGGACTGGTGCTACAAGTACCCCTTCAGGCATGAGCTGTTTGCGATATAGTGCCTTCTATTTGTGTTTGTAGAAGGATCAAGTTAATCTATCCAAGAGAAACTTGCAAATAGTTTGACTTTGTTTCAAATGGATACACGGTGACAGGGCTAACAATTCTCCACGCCCCCTTAGGAAGGAAAAAAGGGACTTGATGCATTTGGCCATTAGTCTCACCATCTCTTAATTAGGAGTCTTTTATCTGTTTTACATGTTAAACTGAATTTTTCTGAATCACAGACGCTTCCCTAAAAATAAATATTGGAAGTTGAACTATGTCAAACTACTAGGGTATTTTTAAGGCCTTAAAGATTGTTTCTTTTTTTTATTCTTTCATCTTATGGGAACTTAAAGAAATCTCTGTAACTAAGAAAGTTTAATTCCAAAGTGAAGAGTGTATGAGACCTCTTTGTATTGTTTTTAGAACTATTTTTCACACTTAAAAGTATGTCAAAATAGAAGTTTTCTTTTAAGTTACATTCAGCTTCTGAAAACTAACTGATGAGGTATCATAAGCACTACAAATCATTACAGTTTAAAAAAAAAAAAAAAAGGAAATATTGGCAAATGAACCAGCACTGATTCTCATTAATTTTTTGGTTTTTTGTTTTGGTACTACCTCATTAACCCTTAGAACGTCTTCCAGATATTGACAGCTGTCTTTTAGAAAACGAGAAGCTGATGTTCTCAGGTACAGAGACCCCTGCCTAAAGGTTCAAACCCAAAATGCCAAGCCAATGATATTGCATCTTACTTATGTCTTTCTCTTCCCTTCCCCTTACTTCTCATCCTTTTCTCTCAAAAAAAAAAAAAAAAAAAATGACAACTGCTATTTGAATAGCACTTTACATTTCTAAAATACTTTAATTTCCATTTATTTATTTAGCAGATACTAAGCACCTTATTTTAGCCACTACGGGTCAAGTGACTAGACAAGCAATATCCTTCTCTCATGGGAATACTTAGTGGAGAGACACAATAAACAAGTAAACAAAAAATAAATAAATGACCTATTTTCAGATAAGACAAATATTATGAAGAGGACCAAAAGTCCCGGAGAGAGGGAAAGAAGATATACTGTTATGGAAAGCTTTTCTGAAGAGGTAGCTTTTGGGGAAAGACTGAGAGAGAGCCTGTGCAAAGATCTGGATGAACAGCATTGCAAATGGAGGAAGCAGCAACTACCAAAGTTTGCCAACCTTGCCTTAGAGAATAGGCATGATGTTCATTCATTCAACAAGTATTTGCTGTCAAGTGTGATCTGACTCATGTACCAGATATGATCTGATTCATATTTCAAAAAACTGTCTTGGATAGTACAGAATTTTAGTTGGCCCAGCTTTGGAAGATAGACAAATTAGGACATTGTAGGAGTGCAGGAAAGAGATGCATGGCTTGGACCAGAGTTAGAGTAGAGAAAAGTGGTCAGACACTGGATCATTTAAAAAGTAGAGCTGATAGAACTTGTTGCTGGATTAGTCTTCTGTATGAAGGAAGAAGAGGAATCAAGAGTTCCTACATCATGGCCTGAACCACAAGGTGACACAGTGGTGCCATCGACTGAGCTAAGAAGACTATAGGTTTGGGGGTAGGAAAGAATCAGTAATTTTGTTTTAGACAAGTTAAGTTTGAGGTTCCAGTGAGATAGTGAAGGGAAGAAATTATGCAGGCAGTTGGATATTTGACTGTAGCATTCATGGGTGCAATCAGGACTACTTTGGGTAATCCGTAGTGTCTCCAACTTAAACTTCTTCCCTGAATTTTTTTAAAAAAATTACTTATTTTTTAGAGAGAGGGAAGGGAGAGAGAAAGAGAGAGAAACATGGATCAGTTGCCTCTTTAGTATGCAGGAGCTGAACCTGTAACCTAGGCACATGTCCTGACCCGGAATAGAACCAGTGACTTTTTACTTTGCGGGATGACACCCAACTGAGTCACACAGTCAGGGCACTTGTTCCCTGAATTTCAGACGTTTACAGCATATTGCCTAGTCAGCATCTTGCTACACACACCATCTGACCTGTTTCAATGAATGGAAACGCCACCTTCCTAGTTGATCCAATCAAAATTTTCAGAGTCCTTCCTCTCACTTTCTACAAACAGCCCTTCAGCACATCCTCTTGACTCTGCCTGTGTCAGAATTTGACCAGCTCTTGCCAGCCATCTCCACTACTGACACCCACGGATTATTGTAGTTGCCACCTAAATCATTTCTCTGCTTCCAACTGTGTCTCCCTACAATCCGTTCTCCATTTCGCATTTAAGAAAATGCTTTATACCAGGATTCATAGTAACTTCTGTTTACTCCAAGTTAAGAGCCAAAATTTTTAGCGGCCTTCGCGCCTACACAAGCTGTTGCCCCATTCCCTTTGACCTCATTCCCTCTCATTCTCGCCCTTGCTCACTCAGCTGCAGCCACCAGCCCCTCACTGTCGCCCAGTACCAGGTGACCTTACATGTCAGGGCTTTTGGATGTGTTCTCTTCTCATGCATGGGGTATGTTGTTTCTCGGGGATGTCTACCCTTCCAATCTAATATAAACAGAATGTACTTATTTTTATTATTTTTTGTCTGTTTTCCCCAACTAGAATGTAAGCTCCAGGAAGGCTGGTATTTTTATCTTTTTTTTTTATTTTATATCCACGGTACCTAGAACCCCTATTGAATGAATTGATAGATATTATTTAGAAATGTAGAACTTAAAAGTTTTTCTACTTTTGTGAATTTTACCTACAAGTGATTCATTGTATGAAATGGCAGATATACAAAGTTATTTATTGTAGAGATCTTTGTAATAGCAAAATATTGGAAACTACCTAAATATTTTTCAGTAAGTCACTGGTTAAATAAATTGATGTGTCTACAGAATGGAAAATGGTGCAGCTGAAAAGAGATCAAGAAAATTCCATTTTTAAATTAAATTTATTGGGGCAACGTTGGTTAATAAAATTATATAGGTTTCAGGGGTACAGTTCTGCAACATATCATCTGTATGTTGTATTGTGTGTTCACCATCCCAAGTCAAGTCTCCTTCCATCACTATTCATTCCCCCTTTACCTTCTCCTACCTTCTCTTCACCCACCTTTCCCTCTGGTAATCGCCTAACGGTTCTCCGTCTGTGGTGTTTTTTGTTTTGTTTTCGCTTTATCCCTTCGCCTTTTTTACCCACCCCCCAACCCCTCCCCTCTGACAGTTGTCAGTCTGTTCTTTGTATCCATGAGTCTTGTCTCTTTTTGTTTGTTAGTTTATTTTGTTCATTAGATTCCATATGTAAGTGAGGTCATGTGGTATTTTTCTTCCTCTGACTGGCTTATTTCACTTGGTGTAATTCTCTGCAGGTCCATCCATGCTTCTTTATGTACTAATATAGAACAGCCTCCAAGATATGATAAATGAAAAAGAGAACCATTTAGACCCGTGTGTATGGTACCCTACCACTTGTTTAAAAGATAGCCTGTGCTAGTTCCGGACGGTCCCACAGTACTAGAAACACTGGTTCATCCAAGGAGAGAAATAACATGACTAGGGGACAAAGGTGGAGAGAGGGAGATTTTGTGATTTACATTGCTGTGTGCCTTTTGGATTTCGAACAAGTGAATACTTTGCCATATAGAATAATTTTTAAAAAATTTAAATGCCATGAGATCAGGTGAACTATTCTAGGAGAGAGCGCAGATAGAGACTGTAGAAGGAAAGGGAAAGGGCTTTTGAGAATAACCACATAATATAAATATGAACAAGACAGTTACAAAATTATCATTATTAAGCTCTGAGGAACCTGATCTTCAGAAAGATTTAAAGGACTTACCTTAGGTCATTCAGCCAGTAAGTTTCGGAGTTTGGCCCTAGCTGAGGTGGCTTGGTTGGTTGGAGTACCGTCCTGCACGCTGACAGGGTTACAGGTTTGCTTCCTGGTCAGGGTACGTGCCTGCATTGTGAGGCCGATCCCTGCTTGGGGTGCAACCAGTCAGTGTTTCTCCCTCACACTGATGTCTCTCTGTCTTTCTCTCCCTCTCTCTCTCCTTTCCTCTCTCTCTAAAAAGAATGAAAAAATGTCCTTGGGTGAGGAATAATAAAGAAAGAAAGAAAATAAAGACAAGAAAAAAATAAATTTTAACACAACTGTTTTAAAAAAAAATTCAGAGTTTGAATTTTCTGTTTATTCCAACATGGCACATTTCTCCCTACCTTTTAAAGTTGTTTACACTTTTTAAAGTAATTACATAGCTGTCATGTAGGTTAGTTAACTTTATAATTTGAGCAGTATAAATAGTGGCATACTTAATTTATGAATAAGTATGAATTTTGTGTAGAGAACAAATATAACCTATACACTTGAGGTGCTCATAAAACCATATTTTCTGAAAGGTAGTTTTTACTTGGATGATAATGTGTTCTGATTACTTATTTGGATTTTTCAAGTTAATCTTTTCCTCAAGATAGTCTTTTATTTTTGTTTTTTAAATTATATTTTATTAAGGTAAATGTATGTAACATAAAATTAACCATTCTAAACTGAATAGTTCTTTGGCATTTAGTATATACACAAAATTGTATAACAGCCATCTTTATCTATTTTCAAAATATCTTCATTACACCAAAGCAAACCCTACATCTACTATGGGTTCTTTCCCCAACCTCCAAGCCCCCAATAACTATCAGTCTGCTTTCTGTCTTGGTGGATTTACCTCTTATGGCTATTTCATATAAATAGAAACATGTACCATGTGACCCTTAATATTTGGTTTCTTTCATACGATTTTTGAGGTTCATTAACATTGTAGCACATATCAGTACTTTATTCCTTGTTTTGGCTGAATTACAGTCCATTGTATTTATATACCACTCTTTGTTATCCATTTTTCTGGCCATGGATATCTGAGCTTTATTCCATCCTTCGACTGTTGTGAGTAGTGCTGCTAGGCTATGTATGTGTACATGTATTGGTTTGAGTACCACTTTTCAGTCCTTTGAGTTTTTACCTAGACTGGAATATAAATATATGTATATTTATATCACCACCCCCTTGTTTTATAGCCATCCTATTGGGTGTGAAGTAGTATCTATGTAATTATCTTTACCTTAACCAAAATTCTGTATTTCTTCATATGACTTTGATTTACTTTCAAGTTTATTTTCAGCCTGAAGGACTCTCTTTAGCATCTGACAGGTCTGCTAGCAATAAACTCCTTTAGCTTTTGTTTATCTGAGAATGTCTTAATTTCTTCATTTTGAAGGACAGATTTGGTACGTATAGAATTCTTGGTTAGCAAACGTTTTTCTTTCAGCAATTGGAGTATCCAGTCACTTCTGACCTCCATGGTTTCTGATGAGAAGTCCGCGGTTAATCTTATCGGGGATCCTATTTATATGAAGAGTCACTTTTCTCCTACTACATTCAAGATTATCTTTGTCCTTTGCCAGTTTGAATATAATGTGTCATAATGTGGGTCTTTTTCATTTCTTGTATTTGGAGTTTGTTGAGCTTCTTGGATGTGTAGAATCACATATTTCATCAAATTTGTGAGGTTTTCACCCATTATTAACTTAAATATTTTTTCTGTCCCTTTCTCTCTTTTCCTCTGAAAAGTCCAATAACGTATACACTGGAACAGTTGATGGTATCCTTGGGTCTCTTAGGCTCTGTTCACTTTTCTTCATTCTTTTTTCTTTTCAGACTGAATAATTTCGATTGTCCTCATTTAAGTTCACTGTTTCTTTCTTCTGATGGCTCAAATCTGCTTTTGAATGTCTCTAGCCAATTTTTCATTTCAGTTATTGTATTTTTCAGCTCCACATTTTTTTTCTAGTTTCTTGTTTTACAATTTCTATTTATTTTATTCATACATAGTTTTCCTGATTTTTTTTTTTTTTTTTTTTTTTTTTTTAGTTCTTTATCCATGGTTTCCTTTAGCTCTTTTCAGGGTATTTAAAGCAATATAGTTAAAGTTTTTGTTTTTTAGTCCAGTCTGGGCTTCCTTGGAGATCATTTCTGTTGACTTATTTTTTTCTGTATCCTTTCTAATTCTTTGTATGTCTTGTAATTTTTGCTAAAAACTAAGCATTTTGAATATTATAATGTAGTAACCCTAGAAATCAGATTCTCGCCTGCAGTTGTTCATTTATATTCTTTGTCACGTGCAGTCACTAAAGATTCTGTTCCACTACCTTACTGGTTAGCCAGAGAACTGATTCTTTTCCACTATCATAATGGTTAGCCGGAAGCAGAAAGTACTCTCCTTGAAAATATTGACATTTTTGTTTACACTTTGCTTAAAAATATTTCATCCTGCTTTTCATTTTTACTAGCATTAACATGACACCCTGAGACAGACACTGTTGCTGTGGCAGCTGGTTGCAGCATAAACTGATTCAGAACTAGAGCAGTGGCCAGTTTCCCTGGCAACAAGTTCTCCACGTCAGGACAAGCCCCTTCTGGCACAGTCTCCCTAGTTGATTTCCTCTCTGGAAAACACGACAGAAGGGACTGTGTCACGAAGCAGAATTCAAGTCTGGAATAGCCAATTCTGAATATAAAGAAAGAGGAAAAAATGTGAAAGGAAAAAACAGTGAGAATTTTCCGTGCAAATAGAGATTGTAATTGAAGTGGAAATAATGTATACTAAGATTTGTTCTTATTCTTTTGATAAGAAATTGATAATAAATATTATTTTGATAATAATGACTTAATCAGTAGTTGGCTTATCTGAAAATAGCCTCTCCTGGTTTCTTCCCTGGCTTCCCAGTGCTGTCTTGTTACTTTCCCTTCCACTTGTACCCCTCCACTCAGGTCAGAAATTGGTAGGCCTAAGCTCTTGGCCCTCTGCCCTTTTCCATGTTCTTTTTCTTTCAATTACTAATTTTACTGAGAACGCATTAATTAAATGCAGCTCTTCATGGCCAAGTTTGTATTATCTGAGATATATGGTGCTTACTTTAAATGACTTTACTGTTCACGTCAATAGCAGTGGCAACAATTGCAATTGATGTCAACGGTGTTCCTGTGTCCTTCCCGTGACCCCCCACAGGCCCTAAGCCGGGCCTCCCGGAGCTGGGCCTGCGCGGTCTCTGTGCACCCTCCTGCTCTCCCGGTGCCTCCATGACACAGACAAGCAAAGCTGCACTGCTCTTGGCTTGTTTTGATTTTGCATTGACATTATAAAGACAGTAATGACCATAATGTAATGCTAAATTATATTAAGGAGTACATGTACAGGGGACACTTTTTTTAGGTGTTTGTTTTTTCACTCTTTTTTTCTTCCTCATCATATTTACTTAGAGGGTTTAAACAATTCAGGCCTGAAATACAGAGTTTTCAAAACTAAAGATTTCTTATCCATTTTTATTGTAGCAATTTTTTGGAACTTCATGCCGACATGACAGTACTTTTTAAATATTTTCACCATTGTTGCTAACAGTAGCAACACGACCCAATAGGGAAAAATCTGAGTGAATTTTTACATTCCATTTGGAGAAAGGTTCAGAACGTGCCTTAGAAATGTTTACTTGCAAGATATATTGCACATGCTTACTCTATATCTAGTAAGAATAGATAACTTATTTTAATAAATTTGGCAATACTAAAATGTATTTACTTATATTCTTACAATATAGGGCATCTCATTTGATGAATTCAGGTCATTTTTCCAGTTTTTGAACAACCTAGAAGATTTTGCAATAGCCTTGAATATGTATAACTTTGCAAGTCGTTCTATAGGGCAAGGTAAGTAACAATCTTTCAAAAATTAGAAGCAAAAAATAATCCTATATTGTTCTAGGGACTTTGACAGCAAATTATTTAGATATATCATATTAGCCATCAACTTGCCTGAAAGTTTGTTGTGCACTTAAATGGGAAATCTGTTTTCTCTAAGCAAAATTTAGGGAAGTATGCTAAGTTTTGGTATTAACAATAAATATACTGATGACATATTACAGAATTGTACACCTGAAACCTATATAATTTTATTAACCAATGTCGCCCCATAAATTCAGTAAATGAAAATAAAATTTATTATCATCCTTCATCTCATATTATGGGGAAAAGCTAATGATGTTTGTAAAAGTTCAAAGAGAGAGATCCTCGTGTCCACTTAGTCATATTGAAGGATGTGTATCTACTTACAGAAAAGCCAGCGGGTCATGCCTCAGGCATCATCACAGGATGATACTTACATTACCCACAATCCCTGCTGGCTCTGAAACCTGAATTTTGTCAACAGAGCTCCCTCTTAGCTATGGATTTACATTAGCTGCATTTTAAGAACAATATGTAAAATTGAATGTCAGTTTTGCTTAATTTACAAAGAAATACAACTGTTGTAGAAAATGTTATTAACCTCAGGACCAGCTCTTTCCTTTCCTATACGTAGACCAACAAATCAAATCCTTTTTCTAAAATTCTGTGACTACTTTCCATTCTTCCCTCAGGGCAACATCCTTTTCAGATACTCATGCCGTACAAGGGCTTTCTGTCCATGTCTTTAGGGTGATGTGACCTGTGTCAGCCATAATCTAATAAATGCCATCTCCCAAATGTAACCTAAGGGGATAGTCTTGTTATTTTATCGCCAAGGTCTAGGGAGAAGCCCAGGTGCAGCCCCTAAATACTAATGTTAGTCATCTGTCTTCCAAAAGCTTAGCTTCATTCATTTATTCACTGAGGAAGAGAAACCTGAAAATTTGTCATACTTTACCCTTGTCTAGTCTACATTTTCAAAGAGTGCTCCTTCTCAACTCAACCCATTTTAGTGTTTTAAAACCAAAACCTTTGGGAAACTTGCCTTCCCAGACCAGCGTTTACTACCATGATAAACCTACTAGTCAACCACAAAAGGAAAAAAAAAAGTCTGCTTGCCTGGTTCAGGGACAGTTGTTCTTTTACTTTGTGGAAGTGGGAAATGGAAAAATATCGATTGCATCCTCTTGCAGGTACTAGGAATATATGTCTCTTTCTTTTCTGTTGTCACTACTAGCACCTTCATTCAGATCTGGTATTCCTGCCAGTACCCACTTTCCTCTCCGATATTTCCTAGACAACTCACAGAACAATCTAAAACACAGATTAACCTTTCTATGGCACGCCTGCTATGGAAAACTCTTCAGTTCCCAATTGCCTGGTGAAAAATGTACAGGTTCCTCACTCAGCCCCTGTACCGAGCTCCTCCAGCTCTTCTGTGTCCAGACTGCTCATTGTTTTCTGGATGTGCTTCCCCACCTCCTGTTCCCTCCATGCCTGTGTTCATGTTGTCTCATCCGTCATTTCTCTCGTCTACAAGCTGAAATCTTCTATCCTTCAGGGCTCAGCTCACATACAAAACTGCAGCCTTTCCTACTCACTGCTCTTCTCTCTCCTTTCCCCACTCCACACTATGGACAGAAGTAATCACTCAGTTCCAAATTCTCATAGCGCTTTGTTGGTAATTTTGTGTGGTCCTGTGTAATGGTTATTTGGGCAGGTGTCTCATCTCCCATCAGAACTGTAAGTTTCTGGAGAACTTACTCATCTTAACCTCTAAAGTGATAGCAGGTGCTCATTAAACATTCATTGAATGTGATTGCATTATTAAACTAAGCTATAACTATTCTTGGCCCTTTAAATTAAAACTGCAAATTACTTTTGTTCCCTAAAAGATAACATAATTAATGAAAAGTCATGTTACATAAGATCATGACCCGTATTTATAAAACAACTTCTTTTATAACCTTTCTAGTAATTAAGACATATTTTAAAAATGTTAATGATTTACTCCTTTTCTGTAACATTTATCTAGATGAATTTAAGCGTGCCGTCTATGTAGCTACTGGCCTCAAACTTTCACCACATTTAGTGAACACAGTCTTCAAGATTTTTGACGTTGACAAAGATGATCAATTAAGTTATAAAGAATTTATTGGAATTATGAAAGACAGACTCCATAGAGGATTCCGGGTAAACCTATAAATTTCAAGCCTATTGATACAATTTTTTTTAACTGAAAGAAAAAAGTCCATCTAAGTTTTAGAAACAATTTATATAAATTTGTAAGGATATAAACACAAAATGTTATATTTGAAAAGAAGAATATAAGGCCCTACCTACTTTCAAAAATAAGTTGAGGTGGTAAAAGGTAATGCTTTTTTAAAACATAAAATCAATTTGAATTTTAATAACATTTTCATGTTCAAGTAGTTTAATGTCTGTATCCCAATGTTGCCAAATATTTTTTATTCAGTCTTCACACTGGCTTTGAAACTTGTTAGTATACAAAGAAATATCACTATTTCTCATTTTAGATGATGTGGGTTTCCACTAGACAACTTGAGGTGCTTAAGTCACTGCATATTCAGTACTTTTTATTTTTTGTCTATTGAACCATTCATTCTGTGAACATCCTACACTGTAAAACAATTATGAGAAGTTCAATGATTTTTTTCCTCAGAAATATGTTTTAAGAAATGAAATGTAGTGTGAGTCAATAAATGTTTACTTATCTAACATTTATGGATAGTGTCATAAATGGAAAAAGAAGCAAATTCTAGTAACAGCTGGAATATGCAGTCTTCCCTCTTTAGTATGAATACCCCTAAGCATTATACATTTAAAGAGAGAAAAAGTTATATGTGTAAAAAGTTAATATTCATCTTAGTGTTTTTAAAGACTTTTAATGATTTTTTTTTAAATCCAAGCGGACTTGGTAAAGATACTGTGTACATAACTGCCCCCTAGTGGTTAGTTGTTAACATTTGCGATGATGGCTCATATACCTAAAAGGGCATATATTGAAAATCATCTATTTTTCCTCAAAAGTTTTAGAGTAGCAAGATCAAATTAAAATATAAACTATACTGTAAACCTCTGCCACTGTGTTTATCTCTTAGGTATTGTGTGTTTTTTATTTTTCTTTATTTAGTGCATATCTGTGGCCCCAATAATTTTATTTACATTTGCATTTTTTAATCTTCTGTTCCACAGGGCTATAAAACAGTTCAAAAATATCCCACTTTCAAATCCTGTCTGAAGAAGGAACTTCATAGCAGATAAGTATGTTAGCTTTTCTGTCTAAAATTGTTCAGCAACAATAAAGAAAGGGTCATAAATTACTTTTCTGCTATGATATTTCAGAAATAGCTGAAAGGGATACGATTCATTTTTAATTTTTAGGTCACTAATTCAACTTAAAAAGTACTTTTTAAATTATTTTATTTTAGACCAGTAACGCAATTCAAGAATTAGTGATTAGAACAGAGCACTACTTTTCCACTATTAAGTTGTAATATAAAAATAAAGTGGATAAATACTCATCCAACTGGAATTCTCTTGGAATATCTTGATTAAAAATTATTCTGTTTAACCTGCAGCTTTGTATCCGGGTAAATACAAAATAATAACTCGAGATTGGGCTGTTATAATCTAGGATCATTAACATCTAAGGAATATTTGTTACTAATTTTTAGGATTTTGATTCCAAACATCTGCTACAATAATGGCACCTAATGCTTTTGGAGTTATTTTAGGTCCATGACAGAATATAGGGTGTTCTCCCACATTTAGAATCTCATTTAATCCTCTCAGATATCCCATTTAACAGCAGAGAAAAGAGAGGCCAAGTGAGTCATTTGCCCAACATTCTCTAGTAAGTCACAAATTGGGGTTTGAGCTTTAGTCTGTCTGACAGCAAAGCCATCTTATTTATTATTTTTTAAACAATCACTGTAGAATACCGTAAGTGAGGAAGATACAGGAGACCCACTCAGTTTGTATCAACCCAAAGAAATGTCTCAGACTTGATGCTGATCTCCACAATGAGGGCTTTGTTTCTCCTTTTCTCTTTTAAAAGTCAACTGTACCTATAAAACTTTGGTCAACTCTGAGTTCCAATTTGTTAGGTCTCTGTTTGAAGGTTTTATTCATTCATACCTGTTTGCAAATGTATATTTCTTGCTTTTTTTCTCAAGCTTGAAACATTTATATATGTGTATAGCAGTATTGCCAAAGAGATTCCAAGGGATATCAATGCATATTATTCTTTAAAACAACGTTTCATCAAATAAGTTACAGAAATACAGTAAACATGGTTAAAGAGGTTCCTTCCCCCTTAGAACTTACAGGATCTTATTATGCTACCATGCATTTGTATCTTTAAAAGAAAACAGCACTATTCTGCCTTTTGCCAAGTAGCTTTGAGACCTCATGTTTTGTGGAACCCATCTTGGGAAATGCTGGTCTAAAATGTTTAGTAGCAAGTAGGCTTAGGTATTTATTGAAGGTGGTAACTGTTTTGATTGAGCTAACAAAAGGTCTTCCTAATCTCTATTTTAAAGAACTTGATACTCCCCTGCAAGAACTTTAAACATTAAAAAAAAAAAAAAAAAAAAGTAGGACCCTACCATTTGTACGCTCCTAGCGGCAGTGCTGCCAACTAACTTGTCATACTGTCTCATGGACACTGCTGATCCTATGCGTTAGTGCTAAGCGCCGCAGATAAAAATGACTGCATTTACTGTAGGTCTTTATAAGCCTGAAGGTTAGACAAGGTACTAACCGAAACGCTGAACTTTTAAATTAAAGGAAACATTTTACGATTAAGTCTTCTGATACTTATGTTTTCTGTTGGGTATTTTTATTATGTACCTTACTGTTTCATATTATTATCATAATAATATTTGATTAATGCCACCAACTCTGAATTTCATTCTAAATATATATTGCTTTTATATATATTTTTAAATTAGGTACTTGTAAAGCAAAGTTTAAAGGATTATCTACGTGACAAATGCAAGAAGCAACAATTTCAGAGAACAGAAGCAGGTCTGAGGTCAGAACTTGCAGAAATGAAGGAAAAGGTGAAATGCTAATTACAATCTTTTCTTGAACTGAATTCTTGAACATAAGACAGATAAAATGCATCTTCTTATTAACTACAAATGTTGTGTGTTATCAGGTTAAGCTTTTGCCTTGATTGACTGAACTCTGCACTTTTTCATTCCTTTCAGAAGTATATAGATACTTCCAATGACTATATAAGAATGTATTTTAAATATTTAAAAATGTATTAGAAATTTGCCTAATTTCAAAATAGTGTATGATTCTGGACTCTAGATCACTTAAAAATGAACAATGACATATTTTTCTTTGGTTTTAGACTGTGAACTTATTTTAAGAAAATGAAGAGCCTTAGAATTGTTGATAAATCCTTACTATTTATTTTTAGTTACATTGACAGTGTTTTGAAAAACTAATAGAAATTAAGATACTATACAATACGATGGTTTACGTTGTACTTTTAACTTTTAAAAGTACTTGATATACATTGTTTGAATCATATAAAGTTTTTCAAAAGTTTGCGTTTATCAAAGTCAACAGAATGTTTGGTATTCTTTTATGTATACAGCGAAGAAACGTAACTGTAGATTTTTGTCTCAGAAGAAGTCATACAGTGATGGCAGAATGGTGGTAGTTGGAGCAGGAGTCACTGTCGGTGTCACGGGTTTAACGCGGTGCTGCTCCCGGTTGCAGACGGTGTATGTCAATAATGCTAGTGAAACTAGTCGCTCACAACGCTGTAACTTATTTGCTCATTATTAGTAATGTCTGTAGCATCAAATCAAGAACTCTAAGAGACTAATATAAAGTGGTTTCTAGATGTATGTAAATATTAGGTAGAAATTAATACTTTGTTTCTTGCAAAAGGACCACCTGCAAAAGTGATGCCAAATAGTAATAATAAATAATTTAATATAATTCATTACTTCAACATAATATCTTAAAGAAGGAAAGAAAAACTTTCTATTAAAAATAACAAAATTAGATTTTCACTTGGAGAAAATTTGATAGCACTTAATGGAATTTTGTTCAATTAAAAAGTTTAGTTTATGAAGGGATACTATACAAAGTAGAAAAATGGATTTAAATTAATATATTAATGTATTATATGTAGAGGATATGTTCATTCATCTTCTTTTCCAAGATATATTTAATGTAAGTGCATACACTCCAGCTATTGCCTTGCTTTTGCTTATGAAAATAAGAAATACTTTGTTTTTGTAAGTTATTAAATGTGAAATTGATAGCTGTGCATCAGCCTATTTATAAAAGTAATACTATTTCCAAGAAAGATGTTATTAGCATTTACTATGTATTTGACTTTTTACATTCTTTATCTGATATTATTTATTACATTGATATAGGAATATGATTCATAAATTTGAAGATTCTGTATAGTATAATAATTTCACCTTCTTTCAGTGTTGATTCAATTGATATGAAAATGCTTATCCACTCGTTTCACACGCCCAAGTCTATTTTACCTTACCTAAATGTTCTCAACATTATTTGCTGTCTAAAGTAATTGAAAAAAATGCAATTTACTTTTATCTTTAATTATGTTGTATTATCTTGCAGACATGGAAAAACTGTCATTTAGAACAGTCCTATAAATGTATATTAAAAACTAAATCAACACATTAAAGTTAATTCTAATTCTGCCATTCTCTCGAGAAATACTATGTATGCAATCTTTATTATGTATCAGAGTGAATGTACATTCATCTCATCATAAGACTGCAGCATGGAAATAAGTGAAATATTCTAGTCAATTAAAATGGAAAAGAGTAGTAAATTACAATGATTCCCTACATATTATATCACTCATGAACTTTACCCTATAATGAAAATGAGAGATAAAAAGAACTCATTGGATTATTGTTCACGTCAATTGAAAACAAAACGTAAATGCTTTGACAATAGTAATGAACTAAATACATGTATGCTATTATTCATAGTATTTCTTTCTACAAACTGTTCTTTGGACAAATGAAACTATACATAAAATTTTAGTATCATACTCTTTACAGAGAGCCTACATGATGAAAGGGTTGTGGTACTTCTCAGAATCATTTAATAGTAAGAAATTCATTTAACTTAATTTCCAGTGTATTGTTTTTATTATAAAATATAATTGTAAAGCAACCTTACATTCTTATATTATCTTAAAATAAATATACCTGCTCTTGAATCAAGAAACTTAGTACTTTGCCTTTATCTGCATCTGTGGACTTACGACTTTCTAAAAAACGCCAGCTCCAAACTGTGGAACTGTTTGTTGGTTACCAAACCTCCCTTGATCCTGTACCCTCTGCTGTAATAAGGCATGCCAAGGAAATTAATCTCAACACTTCCGTAGGTAAGTAAAGCGCACAGCCATAAAGCTTCTCGAGATGTGTACTAGGAATTGATGTTTATAGAATGTGATCGTTGGTACTGGGAAGCATTCACAAAGTTCACATGGGAATTAATTGGGTATCAGTTTTGCTTTACAGAACTGAGTGCTTAAATGACGTAAAATAATTAAACCAATACTATGGCAGCCCCCTTCATACTAATGTTTGTTATTTTGTAGGCATCACCTTATTAAGTAATTTACCGGTTTTCAAAATATACTAATTATCCTATTTTTATAGTCATACAGTAAATTAACATTTTTACATATGGCTTTTACTTCCAAAGGATGTAAAAATATGAATTGTGTAATATTCAATAAGTATAAAATAAAAATTTTAAGTGATAAGAGAGCATAGTGTTTTTTTCTTTTTTTATAAGTAGCTCATAAAAGAATGGTATGTTTTGCAGTCAGTCACATCTTAAATTCTGTGAGATATTGTAAGATGAAAATCACTGCAAAGATACAATTCTCTTTACAACTTTATATCTTTATACCAGTCAGTATTTTTTGCACACATCTTAAACAGGAATATATCTATAATTGAGATTATATGCATACTCACTTACAATGCTCTTGGAAAGTAAGATCATTATTATAACAGTTTTCTGGAAAAGATAAGTTTTGTCCAGTATTGTAAAGGAAGAGAAGGACATACGTTTATGAGAACTAGAGTACAGAAACGAAGAAGAGAATAGAGAAGGGATCTGAATGAGTTTAGATTTTTAAAATTGGGATTGAGTAGACAGTGTTTAGGAAAATACGTTTTAAAAAATACAGTGAAGCAATAATGTCAATATGTCCTTTCACATAGCATATTGAAAAGATAAAATGGCTCTGTAGTCTGTAGCGCTGGTACATGTGTGGGGCAATTGCCGGTGAAGCTATCGATTTGGATGCAACATGTTTGGAGGGAAATAGAAATATCTCAAAGTTGTAACCTAGAATTTTACTTCTGGGATTGTAATATCCCGAAACATTATATTTATAAATTTGCATGTCAGAAATATACCTATACAATGAAATAGTATGTAACTGTGGGAAAGAATGACGTCCATTTATCATGCTGATATGAGATGGTCTATAAGATATTTTTATGGGAGCACAACAAGGTATGGAAGAGTGTATGACATGCTTCTGTCTGTGTGTGAAACACAATTTCATTGCAAAGAAATATATTTTAATATATCTTTATCAAAGTTATGTGTACAATTTGTTAAAAGTCAAAGAGCTCCACAGGGTTTAAATAAAGTACTACATTCCTCTTTCCTCATTTCAGCTCCTCAGAAATCTTTTTGCAGTTTCTTTCGGCATCTGCCTTCGTATTTCAAGATAACATGCTTATACCAATGTTTCTTGATTGGTTTTATTCTTAGTGTGTCAACTGTTGACTTCCTGCAATGGAAGATGAGGATTCGACTCTATTACACACCCCACTTCAAGACACACACACACAACTCCCTTTCACCATCCTTTTAGTAAGAGCACAATTCCAGTTAAATCAATTATTACATCATCATCAATTACTATATTTCGTTCCTTAAACATCTTCTTCCTTTCCCTAGAGATAATAATTTTCTCCTTTTTAGTTTGCTTAGTTTTTGTGTAGTTCTCATTTGCCTATCATTAATTCATCCCCAGACTCATCTCCATAACTAAACAGATAATGTTAATACACTGTAACATATCAAGTAATATGTAAATTTTTATTATAATTTTAGAAATACCTTCCAGAGTTCTCCATCTTACTGGCCCATCTCGAATGGCCGTTCTCTAGTCCTAACGCAGAACTGGCGTTCCAGGATCTCCATTCTTCCTCGCTTTTACCCTCTTCGCATCCCGGGTCTTCCTCTTATCTTTTCATTTTTTGGAGTGAAGCACAATCCTACGTATTTCCCAAGAAAGGCTTCTTAGAAATTAAATGTTAGAGATCTACTGTGCCTAAAAATGCCTTTATTCTACTCCTATGCTTGGGTAACAATTTTGAACTTTGGCCTTTCAAAAAATTGTCGCATTGCCTTTGAGATTTCAATGTTGTTCTCAAGAAATCAAATAGAATTCTAAATCCTGACCGGCTTTTCTTTTCCTCTCAGGAAGTTAGTAGCCTCTACTATTCTAAAATTTCAAAATAATATAACTCATTGATCGTGTTGGGCTCTCAATAGTCCTTTGAATCAGAAAAATTATGGCATTTAGTTTTATTTTTTAAAAAGGTAATGATTTCTTTGAGAACTTCCTCTTTTGTTGTTTTCTCTGTCTAGTTTTCCTCAAACTTCTCTTACAGGTTTTCCCCACATTCTGAAAGTAGAGCATTCCTCTGAAACCTTTTGTTAGCCCAAATCGCATAAAGCCAAGAGTAATCCTGCTTTTTCTGAAAGTTTACATTGTCACTTCACTTTTAGGAAAGACCTACATTGGTACCTGTTTTCACTAGCGAAAACAAATCCTAAGAGAATTTTCACTCAAAAAGGAAGCCATTACTGTACGAATACGGGTCTTACATAGAAGCGAAGTGCTGTAATTGGGAATGTGGGGCATACTTATAATCAGATACTGAATATCCTATACTCATTCTGTAACTTTTCTTTTGCTTACTGTTCTTCTTTTTGTCTTCTTATTGTACTTTTTAAAAAGAATTCCTGAGAAACTTTTTACCTTTTATCCATTATCTTGGGTTTTTATTTATTCTATCATACTTTTAATTTTTTTCTCAGAATTAACATTTTATCTCCTGTTCTCTTTTGTGTATTCAGGAGCTTTTATTCTCTCTCTGATTATTAACTTTAGCATCTTTGAAGTTTTCTTCCACTTCATTCATAGCCTTATTCCTTTCTTTCTGTTTGTGTTTTGGGTATCTCACATTAGAGGCTTTTTTTGTAGATCTGGTCATTATTCACTGTATAATCACTGTTTTAAAAACCAAACTGGAAGCTCCGTGTGCATGGAATGAACTTTTAACTGATGGGTGTCACTCATTGCTGTTCTGGCTGGGCCATTTCCTACCTATGAGAGACCTTAACTAGCAGTATCAATAGGCCTTTTCTCCTTGGTCAGATTGCTGCTGCCTGGTAATTCAAGCCTTAGCTGCTCTTTGGTACACAAGGCCCTTTGCAGTGGGGCTGTAGGGATATTTAGTGAAGGAGGCTATGAGCACATATGGTGAATGAGCTGTTTTTGCACTGTTTTGAGTGTTTTTACCATGTCTTTGTTTACTTTTTCAAGAAAAGCACAAAACCTGAAGATCTCAGTGTTAAAAAAAAACCGGAAATAAAACAGGAAGGCCGTGTGTGGGGTGGATGTGGTCACCAAATCCAGAGGTGGGTTACTTCTTGCAGCAGATACAGGGTTAAGACGGATGAAAGTGTGGCGGCGATTGTGAATTTATGGAACTGTTGCATGGCGTCAGCTCGGTCAGGAGGGTTAGGAGGGGGTGAACTGATTGATAAAGGGATGTCAGTGGAAATAAGATACTGGATTAAGAAAGTTAAAGAGCGCAACCATATTCCCTCACAGACCATGTCGGTGACATTTGCCATGAGAGGCAAAGAGCCGCACTTGATCGTCAGTCTAATTCAGCGTGGCGTTTCCGGCTGCGTATGTTCATTTACTGCAGGTTAGTCTACTAGCAGATTTTAAACGGAGGTAAAATGAGAGTTTGGGACAGAATAAAAAGCGCTTGGTAAAGATACTTACAGCCTGCGGTATGCAGTGCTTTACTCTTTGCGAGCTCTAGGTGCCATAAGAGTTAAAAGTTCAAGCTGAAAAATCTACAAATAAAACCCTCTGAAAATCTATACTATTTCATGTCATTGCTCTTTGGTGCTAAGAGGTTCTCAAGAAGGTGAGTATCTTATATACCATTTGTGCTGTAATATTTAATTACAGTGAGTGTACAGAAGATTAGCTGTCTCAAAGATTCTTTTGAAATCAGATTGCACATCAAAACTGCATTGTGCCCAGCTAAGTAAGCAAATTTAAGAAAGAAGAGAAGGTGATGTCAAGACTTATTGCAAAATGAACAAATAAAGGAATAGGATTTGCTTGATGTTCAGCCTATTAAAGAATGACCAGATGCTAGCCTTTGTTTGTCAACTTAAGTATGTTTTTCTAAAATCTACAAAGATGCAGTCCATGGAAAATGTCCTTGGCTAGTATAGTATTTGTACTTGAGAAATGAAATAAGCAACATGAAAATGCTAAATATATTAGTAGTTCAATTTCTCATTGTGATTAATTACCACATATATATGTACATTAGTAATTCAGATACAGGGTTTTTTTTAACTTTTTTTGT